AGGTAACAGTGGTGATGTCACTTGCACAGGTATTACCAGAGAAGAACTAATAACGGCGATTAAAGTTGGGAAATCTACCGCACCTGGGGAGGATGGAGTAACTTATGAAATACTTAATGAACTTGCCACTATGACGAAAAGCCCACTTTTAGACCTCTTTAATATTAGTTATAAAGAGGGCAGTATTCCCAGTAAATGGAAAAAAGCTATGATCATCCCTATCCCTAAAGCCAATGGAGAGTATAGACCTGTGTCTTTAACCTCGTGTTTTTGTAAAATGATGGAGAGGATCATTTTAAATAGACTTTTATATATAATAGGTGATCAGCTGTCTAGTAATTTGTTCGGGTTCCTCAAAGGAAAAAGTACCTCTGATTGTATTATTAAATGTCTAGCTAATGAAAATGATTATTATAGAATTTTCATTGATTTACAAGGAGCTTTTGATAAAGCCAACAAAGAGGTTATTTTATATGAATTAGCTAGTCTTGGTGTTAAAGGGAAATTATTGCGCTGGATAGGGGATTATCTTTACGAAAGGAAGGCTCAGGTGTGGTATCAAGGTTGTATGTCAGGTGTGAGGTCTTTTGAACTCGGCACACCTCAGGGAGGAGTTTTGAGTCCCACCCTGTTTAATGTACTAATGAATAAGATAGCATCTGAGAGATACTCAAATGGGGTAACTCCGATCATATATGCCGATGATATTTTATTTCAGGGCAAAGATATTTCAAAGGTTCAAACAGTGTTGGACAATTTCGGAAACCTGTGTCACCATATGGGATTGGTGGTTAATGAAAACAAAACTAAGTTTGAATGTAGAAGTCGGAGCCCCATTGTTTTGAAAATAAACGATAAAAATATAGAGAGAGTTAATATATATAAATATTTAGGCATATATGTTGGATATACCCATGAGAGTTTGGAAGCTGAGATGAACAGACTGTTGGGTCAATGTCGGAAGAGATTACAACCTCTGAAGGCTTTGGCATGCTGTGGAAAGGGAGTGGGAGTCCCTGTGCTACGAATGTTATACTTGAGTACTGTAAGATCTCTTATTGATTATGCCGCACCTGTCATTTCTTGTTTTGGTAAAGGTAGGATGGGCAAGTTGGAGAAGGTACAAAATGAAGCAATGAGAATTATCTTAGGATGCCCAAGAAATGCTATGATTGAGATAATGAGGATGGAGTTGAATCTGCAGAGTATTGGGGATAGAATTTCAGAGATAAATGTAGCCTCTGCCATTAGATTAATGAGAGGTGGGGGAGCTAATGAATTAATCCTCTCGGTTCAAAAGGTGGGAAGTAGTGAACAGTGTATGATGAAGAAGAGAGTATATATGAATAAATTATGTTATAATGTTATAAAGTATGATGTTATTACAGAGTGTATTGCTGTGCCCAAGAGAAAATTTACACCACCATGGGAGGATTGTAATGTAGATGTAGTAATTACTCCCTTGCATAAGAAAAAAAGTATGTATGAAATAGGAGAGCTGAGGGCAACATATGATTGTATAATTAGAAAACTACCTACGGAAAACACTCTACATGTATATTGTGATGGGTCAGTAGCTAGGGATGGGAAGGCAGGATGTGGAGTCTTGATCAGGGAGTACACTGACATCGGCACTGTAGATACTGTTATTGGACGCCGCTTAACTGACAATGTCTCTTCAACGCAGGCTGAACTCCAAGGAGTATTAGCAGGATTACAGGAAGTAGTCAAATGTGGAAAAAATGCTTGCTTCTTTATTGACAGCAGAGGAGCGTTAGAGTCTTTAAATAGCAGACGCCCAGTATATCAGAATATTGTGATAGAGTGTAGAGAGAATGTTAAGAGACTAGAAAAAACTGGGTATAAAGTAAGATTCATGTGGATCCCTTCACATGTGGGAATACTGTTGAATGAGGTAGTTGATGACATAGCGAAGAGAGCCACTGAAAAAACTCTTGTTGATGTTGTATGTCAGTTAACCTTGAAACAAATAAAAACAAGACTCAAGGTGATTCAGGAGGGTGAAGAAATGATAAAGAGAATGGCAATGGTGGACAGTAGTAACACACTTAAGAATTATTCAATAATAAATACAAATTCGTCCTTCACTTATGGTAAAGGAAAGTCTACTTGGAAGGATTCAATTTACATGAGATTACGATTAGGATATAAATATATCTGGCAATACGGTGTTGATGTCAGTGAAAAAGATAAGGAGTGTAAATTATGTAGTATGCCGTCCGCCCACACCTTAGAACATTATGTATTAGAGTGTCACCTTATTGAAAAATATAGAAATAAGGAAATAAATAGTGTACCACATCAAATTGTTTGGATGTGTGATAATGGTATAATAGACAGTATACTTAGGAGCTACAAGAATTTTGCCCCAAGAATGTAACAATTATATGCTGTACTTGCTGTATGCAATGTTAAATGGGATTTTTGTACTGCTATATGTCTATTTGTACTCACTGAATTTGTGCGCCCCTTGAGGGACTTGAAGTAGAGGGGGGGTAGAAATAGCCTAAGCTACTCTATCCCTTTGAGATGTATTTATTGCTTATCTCAATAAACATACTTGAACTTGAACTTGAACTTGAAATTCTATCATCTTGAGTCTTCTCAACGAGAATCTAGCGAACCGCGCTAATCTCCAACAACAACAAGAAATAACCCTCCTCCGCGAGGATATTAGAAACTACAAGGCTAGCCAAGACCAACTACAGCATGATTTGAATGATCTCCATGAGGAAAACAACCTTCGGAAAACTGATGAAGCCTTAAAAAAGCAGGAGGAAGCTCTCAGCAAAATGACTGCATGTATCAGTACATTTTCAGCTCAACGTTCCGTCTCCCAGGAGGAACAAGACCAGCAAAAGCTGCTAGACTCATGAGCACCACACCAGAAATAAATACAGTTTTGATATTCCTAGAGTACGTCTTAATCAAACTAGAAATGCTCTGCAAATCAAGGGGCCCAGAATGTGGAATGACCTTCCCAACCATGTTAAAGACTGTACCTCTCTCAACCAGTTTAAGATAAAAACTAAACACTACCTAATAAATTCCCTGTAATCTACCTCACTCCTCTATTGTCAACCCATGTCTGTTATTTTTTTTTTTTTTTTTTTTAATCAACACTGTTTGTCAACCTATTGTATTTGTGCTGCTTTTTCAGTCATGTTCCCCCTTTTTTTTTTTATCTTTATTTGTATTTGTTCTCAACATCTTTTATTCTTTATGCTCAATTAGTATTAAGTTCTAGATATTAATGTTTTCTTGCCCGAAACGCATTGCGTAATAGTGGCTTTAGGCATTGTATGTACTAGCTCTATCTATATATCAATCCATTAATGTAACATCACTTGTATGTATATACCTTACCTGAATAAACATCTGAATCTGAATCTGAATCTGAAGTGGGTAGAATGTAATTATGTGTTAATTAGCTGTTGATTGTTGGTTTTGACTTTTTGATGTGTAGTGCCTCGCTGATGTCGAGTCTCCTGTTGTCGTTGTATCTGTCAATAATTTCTGTGTTGCTTGTTAAGATTTCTCTGGTGATGGTCTGGTTGTGTGAGGAGATTATGTGCCTTGATGAAGCCCCTGTTGTTTGTGCATTGTTAATCGCCTAGTTTCTTTCAAGGCGTTCTGTTTGGTGTCTGGAGAGTTCTTCATGAGTAGGTTGGCCGTCTTCTTGTTTTTGTAGTAAATTGTTAATTGTATCTTCTGATTTGTATCTGTGGGGATAACGTTCCTATTAATAATATCTTTCAGGACACTTTCCTCCGTTTTAAGAGAAGTCGAAAAGAAGTTCCTGTAAAACAGTCTAATTGGAGGTACAAGTGTTGTGTTAGTTGATTCTTCAGAGGTTGGATGGCATTTCACCTTTCTTTTAATGACGTCTTCAACATAACCGTTAGAGAAGCCATTGTTGACTAGGATCTGCCTTACCCTACAGAGTTCTTCATCGACCTGCTTCGAACCGCTCAGTGATCGACGTAAGCGTTGACAACACTCCACTTGTACCTGTCTGGGCAGTCACTATTGGCATTAAGGCACATTTCTATGTTCATTGTGTAGACTGCAGTGTAAATTTTGCTAGAAATTACCTACTTCAAATTATGATAGATTAAGGATCTGCCTGATACGCTATGCGTGCTAGTGGCTTTACAAGAATGTAAAACTTCAAGTCTCTGTACTCTAATAAACCCAATGTACCTTCTTATATTATATATATATATATATATATATATATATATATATATATATATATATATATATATATATATATATATATATATATATATATATATATATATACAAATAAATAAATAAACCCATGGAACCGCCTACCCACCGACGCCGGAACTGCCAAAACTGTGCTGAATTTAAATATATGCCTGGAAAAGATCACCAAGGCAAATGGAGAGATCTTCAACAAGCCGCCGGCTTCCTCTCCTCGTCGAGGCCAATAGGGTTAGTGGCCATCAAGTAAATCAGGTACAATTTAGTGGCGACGACCATCAGTGTCGTCGCTGATCATAGCGACGACTAGCTATGCATGCTAGTGGCTTTACATGAATGTAAAACTTCAAGTCTTTGTACTCTCATAAACCCAACGTACCTTCTTGTATATAAATAAATAAATAAATAAATAAATAAATAAATAAGTAAATAAATAAATAAATAAATATCGTGGGATTGCAATGTAGAGATCGTACTAAAGAGAAAGTGGCTTGTTAAACATCCTCACAGAGTTCGTGTAATCGTATTTTAATATTCGTAGCCGTAAGAATGTACCATTTAATACAAACAAATCTGTATTTAAATAATACTAATATACAATAAATATATATACAGATTTTTAAGCAATAAAAGCATAAAATAAACTTTTCATACATTATTTTGTACAAATAAAGGGTGGATTAAAGGTGGGATTGGTGTAAAGGAATGTTGTTGTTGGTTGCGGGTCGACGACGAGCGAAGGTAAAGGAATGAAGATTAATGAGGAACGGGGCTGAGGAAAGAGAGAGGAGCATGTAAACATGAATTGATGGTAGAGAGATGACGTTGTGTTTAGCGTCTTGGCTTCACACCAAACAATGGAATTCCACCTATTGCGGCTCGGCACTAATAAGAGATATATCTTGAATCCACAGCAAGATCGTGTAAGTGCAATGCTATTTTTTTTATACATAATTCCAGCGGGTATTTATACAATGTTTACTTCCTGTAAATATTAATAGTTCCCATTGTCAGGGACAGGAAAACTGTGTATGTAATTACCTAAGTGTAGTTTCAGGATGAAAGCTACGCTCGTGGTGTCCCGTCTTTCCAGTACTCTGTCATATAACGTACTGAAACTACTGACGGTTTTGGCCTCCACCACCACCTCACTTAACTTGTTCCAACAGTCTACCACTCTGTTTGCAAAAGTGAATTTTCTTATATTCCTTCAGCAGCTTTGTTTACTTAGTTTAAATATATGACAACTTGTTCTTGAAGTTCTAGGTCTCAGGAATTCTTCTCTATCAGTTTTGTCGATTCCCCGTTTCTATTTTGTGCGTAGTGATCACATTGCCTCTTTTTCCTCTATCTTCTAGTTTTGACATATTTAATGCCTCTAAACATCTTCCGTGGCGGCCACGGAATATGCTCCCACAGCTGGTCTACGATGGCTTCTAAAAATTGTGATCGTTGAGACTAACAGTCATCACGTGGGCATGTATAGCCATTGACGACAATGGTCTAAAAGGAAGCTCAAATTAAACACAAGAGTTCGAACTGGTGACCCTGTGAACACCGGGTCCGACCTTCCCGTCTGACCACAACGCTTCTTAGTGTTGCATAGGCTCCTCGCACGATGTTCTTTATATGGTCCTCAGGTGATAGTTTTCTGTTTAATGAGGAATCTTCAATCAGTTATTTCAATTCAATCTAGAGGAATCACCTCTAGATCTTTTTTTTTTATCAGAATTCTTTAAGGATTTCTCACATAATTTATGGGTTATGTGGGGTCTATGTTCTCCTATTTCACATTCCATAACATGGCATTTATTCACATTAAATTCCATTTGCCAAGTGGTGCTCCATATATTTATTTTGTCCAGGTATTCTTGAAAGGCATGACAATAATCTAAGTCTCTAATCTTCCCTATTATCTTAGCATCATCAGCAAACATGATCATATAATTCCGTATTCCATCTGGTAGATCATTTATGTAGACAATGAACATTACCGGTGTAAGAACTGAACCCTTTGGTACTCCGCTTGTGACATTTCTCCAATCCAATACATTGCGTCTGATTACTGCCCTCATTTTCTGTCGGTTAGGAAATTTTTCAGCCATGTTAGAAGCCTACCTCTCACTCCTCCAATATGTTTCAGTTTCCAGATCATCCTTTTATGTGGAACTCTGTCAAAAGCCTTTTTTAGGTCCAGATAGATGCAGTCAACCCAACCATCTCTTTCCTGTAAAATCTTGGTGGCTTGATCATAGAAACTGGGTAAATTCGTTACACAAAATCTTCCAGATCGAAAGCTATACTGCCTGTTATATCGTTTTTCTCTGGGTGTTGTACCCATTTAATTTTAATTATTTTGTCCAATATTTTGATTATTACACTTGTCAATGATATAAGTCTATAATTGAGGGGTCTTCCCTGCTGCCACTTTTGTAGATTAGAACTATGTTAGCCTTATTCCACACATCTGCTAGGACTCCTGTACACAAGGATGTCTTAAAAATCAGTTGAAGTTGAATGCTGAGCTCATATGCACATTCTCTCAGAACCCATGGTGAAACTTCATTTGGGCCAACTGCTTTTTTCTTGCTTAGCTCCTTGAGCGTTTTTTCCACTTCCTCTCTAGACACCCCTATGAGCTTTTTGTTGTTCTCTGGAATTCTAACTGTGTCTTGTTCTCTGAAGATTTCATTTTGTACAAACACACTTTGGCACTTTTCATTTAAAGTTTCACACATTTCTTTTACATTTATCTAGAAACTGTAATAAAAGCAGGTTTTTATATCAGAAAGACAGAAATATAAGCTAAATTTTAAATCGTTTGTCAAAAAATTAACTGAAGTGAAAGCAAAAATATATACATTTTTATAGTTACTTGATGGCTAACTCAAGCTAAATTCTCTCCATCAACCCATAAAATAACTCATGTTGCTGTATTTTGTCTTATTTAATTTTAAGAATTACCCCATTAAACTTATAGTTTCCTAATTTTTATATTATGCCCAAAACCCTCTGCCTATTAGTGACTTTAGGCAATGTTCATGTATCGTATGTATATATATACTCTTGCCTAAAATAAATATTATTTTTATTACAATTATTATTTTTTACTGCTGAGTGAACAGACACATGAGGTGAAAGGAAATGTGCTCAACCACAGTATTTTTCTCCCGGGTGGTAATCAAATCCAGGAGCCCCAAGTGTTAGTTGAGAATGATGCTACAGTCTGGTTAAACTTTATATGCTTTTCAAAATGCCATTAGATCATCTCAGGACTGATGGCAAATCACAAGTTGAATTTATTTATCATATGTACATGTACCCTTCTGTTCACAAAAATATTAATTGTCTGAAAGTATACTGTACCACCATATTCTACAGGGTTGCAAAATACTGTAAACTAAAGACATCAAAATGCTGTATATAATTAATGATACTGCAATAATACTGGAGTACAGTACTGTACTGAATTAGGGTTCTCACCAATGGTCCAGGTGTTCCTCCATATATGATCTTGGAATGATATCTAAGTGAGTATGGTGGTGTAATAGGAGATGTAAGTTGAGGCAGAGATGCTAAGAGGTCAGGGTTATATGGAGGCTTGAATTTGAGCTCTCTTAACAATATAAAGGTAAAAAAGAAACTTGAAAGTGAACAGGAGTTTGCACCTGTATCTTAATTTAGAGGACCGATTTATGGGAACAGGCTATGGAAACTTGATCTCAAAACCTTAGAGGAGAGCAGGGGTAGAGGTGGATATGAACTCTACATACTAGATTTGGATGGGGAATAGACAAGGTAAACAAAGACAGTCTTTAAACAGAGAAAATAATAAGAGAACATCGGTAGAGGTTGGAAACACATTTGAGTCATAGAAATGTAAGAAAAAACACGCACCCCCCTGTATGTGTGGTCAGCAAGTGAAATGCAAGCAAGTGAATTGTCTGAAAGTATTGTCTGCCCGAAACGCTTTTCATAATAGTGGCTTTAGGCATTGTATGTACTAGCTCTATCTATAAATCTATCAATTTTTGTAAAACCTCTTGTATGTATGTACTTTACCTGAATAAACATTTATTTATTGTTTTATTATTTATAAATGTCCTGAAAGAAAATGCCATCAAAGTCACTTCCATCCACATCTTCAAACAGAAATACTGCAATGAATTTGAATGTCAAGAAATATCAAATTAATGCGCCAGTTACAAAAGGCTTAGAGTCAGAGCAAAAACAGCTGAATCTCATCCCAGTCTAGTTACTGATGTATGAATACTGATACACTTATTACACCATAGTTCATATCTCAAAATATGATGGCTTGTGGATGCAGTCTCTCTTGATCAGCTATTTTTAAAGCATCTAATAATACTGTATATAGTTTTTTCATGTGGGGATGTTTTTACTTAAGGGAGTGGGAGTGATAGAATGTTTAACAGGATCTTTGTTGATGAAGTGTGATGATGATTCTGTTTTCTGTTCAGTATTGTACAATAAACATGACTACAAAACTTTCTGGTTTCCAGTTCCTAATCGGGCGAAACAATTCATGTGATTTTATTTTTACGAGTCCTCACATCTCCAGACAACACTGCGAAATCCAGCGTGTACCTCCCAATGGCACCCTTATCATCAAAAACCTCAAGGTACAAAAATCTCAAGGCCTTTCCTGTAGTTACATGATCTGGTAATATATAACTTATCATAGAATATTGTACAGTATTAATAAGTTTTACTCAAATAGAACTGTGTTAGTTTAGTAAGGAATTACCAGAATCAATAATATCTGGGAACTGACTGGCAGTACAGCTTTCACTTAACATTGTTGGGATAACTTTGTTATTTCACCTAAAGAATAACACAGATTTAAGGCTCAAAATTTAGAGTTTGCAGATAAGGCATGATATAAAGGTACAAGACTATAATTAAGAAGTTTTTTATTTGTAACATGTAAAGTTTTGGGTAACAATATTCAAAGAGTATGGGGGCTTTCTGGGGAAAGCTCTCTTATGGCTCCCTGTAGCTAACATCTCCGATGTATGTAATGTCTAAGAGTTGCCATCAGTCACAGAGTTCTCTGGCCTACTTGAGACATAAGAGTCAGAACCTGGCCTCCTCACATAGGTGCAGGGAGCAGTGGCATATATCTTTTTTTATATGACACACGCACACACACACGCACGCGCGCGCACACATGTGCACGCACGCACACACGCACGCGCACACACACGCGCGCACGCACACACACACGCATGCGCGCGCGCACACACACGCACGCGCGCGCACACACTCACGCGTGCACACACACACACGCACGCGCGCACACACACACACGCACGCACGCGCGCACACACACACGCACGCGCGCGCACACACACGCACGCGCACACACACGCACGCGCACACACACACACACACGCACGCGCGCGCACACACACACACGCACGCGCGCGCACACACACACACACACACACACACACACACACACACACACACACACACACACACACGCACGCACGCACACGCACGCGCACGCACGCACGCGCACACACGCACGCACGCGCACACACGCGCGCACACACACACACACACACACACACACACACACACACGCACGCGCGCACACACACACACGCACGCGCGCACACACACACACACGCACGCGCACACACACACACACGCACGCGCGCACACACACACACACGCACGCGCGCACACACACACGCACGCGCGCACACACACACGCACGCACGCGCGCACACACACACGCACGCGCGCACACACGCACGCGCGCACACACGCACGCGCGCACACACGCACGCGCGCACACACACGCACGCGCGCACACACACGCACGCGCGCACACACACGCACGCGCGCACACACACGCACGCGCACACACACACACTCATTCACTCACTCACTCACTCACTCACTTGATAGGGGCAGAAAGATTCACTACAAACGACAAGGAAGTGTGCGAGGAACTCGATAAGAAATTCCAGGAAGTCTTCACCTCAGAGCAAGGAGAAGTCCCAGAGATAAGGGAGGGAACACCAACCTAGACACCACTAGAGGAGTTAGAGATTACCAGTGGGGAGGTGAGGAAGCATCTGCTAGATTTGGACGTGACAAAGGCTATAGGCCCGGATGGAATCTCGCCATGGATCCTTAAGGAAAGAGCAGAGGCTCTGTGCCTACCACTGTCCATAGTGTACAACAAGTCACTGGTAACAGGCGAACTGCCAAAAATTTGGAAGACGGGCAATGTAGTCCCAATATACAAGAAGGGTGATAGGAGGCACTGAACTACAGGCCAGTGTCCCTAACTTGCATTCCATGCAAGATGATGGAAAAGATTGTGCGAAAAAAGCTAGTGGAACATCTGGAGCAAAAGAACTTTGTAACACAACATCAACATGGGTTCAGAGATGGCAAATCATGCCTAACAGGATTAATTGAGTTCTATGACCAGGCAACAAAAATCAGGCAAGAGAGAGAGGGCTGAGCAGACTGCATATTTCTGGACTGCCAGAAAGCTTTTGACACAGTACCACATAAGAGACTAGTGCACAAACTGGAGATGCAGGCAGAAGTGAAAGGGAAGGTACTCCACTGGATAAGAGAGTACCTAAGCAACAGGACACAGCAAGTCACCGTGAGAGGTGAGGTCTCGGAGTGGCGGGGAGTCACCAGTGGAGTCCCGCAGGGATCAGTCCTTGGACCTATACTGTTTCTGATATACGTAAATGATCTTCCAGAAGGAATTGACTCGTTCCTCTCGATGATGACGCGAAAATTATGAAGAGGATCAGGACAGAGGAGGATAGTATGAGGCTACAAGATGACCTAGACAAACTGAAGGAATGGTCCGACAAATGGCTACTAAAGTTCAACCCAAGTAAATGTAAGGTAATGAAACTAGGAGAAGGAACTAGGAGGCCAGTCACTGGATACCGAATGGGAGATGAAGTCCTTCACGAAATGGACAAAGAGAAAGATCTGGGAGTTGATATTACGCCAAACCTGTCTCCTGAAACCCACATCAAAAGAATAACATCAGCGGCCTATGCGAGGCTGGCTAACATCAGAACTGCTTTCAGAAACCTGTGTAAGGAATCCTTCAGAACCTTGTATACCACATATGTAAGGCCAATCCTGGAGTATGCAGCCCCAGCATGGAGTCTGTACCTAGTCAAGTACAAGGTGAAGCTGGAAAAAGTTCAGAGGTATGCCACTGGGTTAGTCCCAGAACTAAGAGGCATGAGTTATGAGGACAGACTACGTGAACTGCACCTCACGTCACTGGAAGACAGAAGAGCTAGGGGAGACATGATCACCACATACAAAATTCTCAGGGGAATTGACAGGGTGGACAAGGATGGATTATTTAACACGGGTGGCACACGCACAAGGGGACACAGGTGGAAGCTGAGTGCCCAAATGAGCCACAGAGACATTAGAAAGAACTTTTTCAGTGTCAGAGTAGTTAGTAAATGGAATGCACTAGGAAGTGATGTGGTGGAGGCTGACTCCATACACAGTTTCAAATGTAAATATGACAGAGCCCAGTAGGCTCAGGAATCTGTACATCAGTTGATTGACGGTTGAGAGGCGGGACCAAAGAGCCAAAGCTCAACCCCCGTAAGCACAAGTAGACGAGTACAACTAGGTGAGTACATGCTCTTCTTTGGTTCTTGGGTTTTTGTTCTTTTGGTCCTGGTGGTTGTTTTGTTAATATCTAGTCCGCTCCTTCTTTTCTGGACAAGGAAAGAGTCAGTTGGATTCCAAAGGTGTCCCCTTGGTGATTGAGGCTTGAATGGTTCAGCCACAAGTGCATCATGTCTTGTGTCCAGTGGTGGCTCTGCATCGCTACTTTTACATCACCTCTTCTGTGTCAGTACTAGAGGCCTTGTGAGTGGTGCATTAAACCTAGCTAGCCTGTGGTCTACCCTTGTGCCCATGATATTCACAGATATGCCACCCGCTTGGCAGTTTTCACTAATATGTCATGGGTTGACACTTGGGTACTGTGGTTCCCGGTTGACATTCAGGTCATTCGAACAGGGGTTCAAACAAGGTACATCCGTCAGCTCAATACTGTACTTGGTGAATATCACTGGGCTGCAGCTTCCTTGTGTGGCTTTGGGTCAGCTGTCTGAGCCTGCCATTTCTTTGTTGTGATTTCTATGGTGCATCCTCCTTCCTAGTAAGTCCCATTTTTCTTCCCTATGGGTAGATAGCTACAGGAAGCCACAAGGGGCAGCTCCCCCCAGAAAATTAGGGTTGAATGTAATGAAGCACCAATTTCTGGGTGAGCCCCATGGCTCCCTGTCACTCTCCCACCCCCAAGGAGTTGGATGTTTTACATCATTTGTTGGACTGACCGGCTAGTGGACTGCCAGCTGCAGACTGCACCCCCTACCCCCCCCCCCCCCTCAGTCCCCCAAACAAGGACAGGGGGAAGGAAGTTAATAAGCGTGAGCCAGAACAAATGTTTTTCGTTGTTTGTTTATCTAATTTGGGAGAGTTCTATGGGCTGTTTTTGAGTTTACAGGCACAGGCAGTAGTTAGCTTTGGTCTGTTTTGTCTTATTGAATTTCTGGGTGCAAACCTGGTGGTGGCATAGAAAAATATAAATCTCCCTGTGCCTCTGTGAGGAAGCCAGGTTCTGGCTCTGGGTCTCCGGTAGACCAGAGAACTCTGCAACTGATAGCAACTTTTAGACAGTGAATACATCGTAGATTTTAGCTACAGGAAGCTACCAGGGCTCACCCAGAAATTAGAGTTCATTACGTTCAATGCAGATTTTTTGTTTATTTAATGTAGTATGGTTACAGTTGGGTGTTAAAAATGGTACAGTTGTTAGAAATTGTAGGATAGGACAAGAATACTTGTGACATGCTGCTGGTGGAATCGGGTAAGATGTAGTGCTGAAGTTGCCTGAAAGTCGAGAGCTTGTGTGAGGCCTGGACAGAAGAGCTCAGATTAAGGCACGAGTTTATCTAATTGAGTGAAGTTATTATCAGAGCTTTATCTAATTATCAGTCTTATCTAATTATCAGAGCTTGAGTGAAGCCGGGGATGGAGAGATGGAAGGAGGGCAAGAACAAAGAGCTTGATAAGGTTGGGAGTGGCTGGCTGCTCTGTAGCTAGGCTTGTGTTATCTGGTGTGGGAGTTGAAGAAACTAGATTGTCAGTTTGCTTTGTCTCCAGCTGTTTTATACCTGCCTCCACCTGGCCATGTGGACCCAGTTTGATCCTCACTTGGCAGACTGATCATCATTTGGTTTGATGGAAAGCTTGCTGGCTGTTGTCTTAAATGATTCGTAGAAACTTTGGAGATTATTGGGAGCCTTTAAGTAAATACGATAGAATTTCTTGGAATGTGGAACAGCTTGGGAATACAGTAATTTAAGTAGCTAGCACATTATCTCTAATGTGGTTTGCTATAGCAGTTATAAATTTGTCATGTTTGCCTATACAGTAATAAGGATTGTTATTAAAATAATGCATGCTATATATGTAAATTGTTATACAGTATTTTGTAATAAGCTGGAAAGGGTAGGAATAAAAACAGTACTGCATAATGTCTTTCAGGGCACCAACTCCACCTACGTTGATGATCTTCATCTCCAGGATGTCACTAGATATGCAGAACTCCGAAAAGGATGTAAGATCGGGTTGGGTGTTCCCCTTTCACATGTCGAGGATGGCATAGCAAATAATAACTATGTGTTTTTACAACTCTGTCAATCACAGCCTACGGAGGATTCGATAGTAAGTTTTTCTATGTAGTTAAGGATTAATTGTTTCTACAAATACTGTGTATGTTTAACTTTAATAAAAGCTCTTAACTAATCTGCTGTCTGACTGTCTTCTTCATATTACAGAATTAGTTTAATTTGTTTACTAGGTGAAAGTCTTGCTCAAGTACAGCATCACAATTTCCCAGTCAAATCCTTCTCCTTTCAATCTGCTGTTTCCTGAGGTGTATGTGATCTAATGTGATGTATGGAAAGGATCATACACAGTTAGGCCGGATGAAATAATATAATGGTATCACAGAGATCTTTTCTAGATGTCACTGAAGGTCCATATTATTGCAAGTGCTAGGAAGTAGCTGGATAAATATTAATCCGATCAATAATGACAGGTATGTAAATAAAATGCTTGTTTATATGGTGCACTGCTGTCATCATTTGTGGACTGGTTGTATTGGCTGTATTTGGTATCTGTTCTTATAGTGTGTGTGTGTGTGTGTGTGTGTGTGTGTGTGTGTGTGTGTGTGTGTGTGTGTGTGTGTGTGTGTGTGTGTGTGTGTGTGTGTGTGGCCCCAATGCCTGGGGTTCCTGCTTGTTTAGCTGCCTTCATGCCTTGGTAATCCCCTTGTGGGTCTCTGGTGTGGTCCGTTATGCATTGGCCTGTCGAGCCCGCACTGGTTAAATGCAAGCTTGATGGGTGTTCATTGTTTTTGCTACCTGAAGATGATCATTCTTTCTGCATCTGCTGTGCTACCTGCTGGGTTAGTGACACCTACGACCCCATGTTCTGTGAGGATTGTTCTTACTGGGTCTCTTCCCTTACTGATTTGGCTTTAGATTTGGAAGTTTTTCAGTTTCATGCCACTTTGTGAGCTAGGTTTAATTAAGTTAGGCATTTGCGGCATATTAATCATCTGGATGCCCTGATGTTTAAGGTTTTGGAATTGGAGGTGTTGGACTAAGTCTGTACCTCCTCCTCTTTTCCTTGTGGGTGTAGTTCACCCTGCTTCTGTTCTTTTCCCCCAATCCCCCAGTTCCAGTTCTAGCTCTGAAGCATCTGAGAGTCTCGGAATTGAGTCTGGATTTAACTCTGGGTGTAGCTCGGCTTTCTTCAGGGGTGGTCCCATCCACTTCGATGGTGGAGGCAGTTGAGCCTTCTGGTCCTACCAGGGTTTTAGGGCATTTGCCTCCACAACCTCTCTTCCCCTCCCCTCACTCTGAACCTTCTCCTACATGGCAAGCTTCTGGGGCTGGAAGAAGCCTGAAGAGGGTCCTTGGGTGTCCTTCAACCCTTCTTAAACCTTGGTTCCTTCTGCAGAGTATCTCTTTCCTTCAGGGAGAGTTCTTCTTAACATCCTGTCTCTTTCCTTCAGGGAGAGTTCTTCTTAACATCCTGTCTCTTTTCTTCAGGGAGAGTTCTTCTTAACATCCTGTCTCTTTCCTTCAGGGAGAATTCTTCTTAACATCCTGTCTCTTTCCTTCAGGGAGAGTTCTTCTTAACATCCTGTCTATGTCTGAGTATGATCACTCAGCTGCTTCCCTTCTGGATCCCATTTGATGCATCAGTGATGTCATGTTTCCAGAGATTTCTGTCTTCATGGAATTTTGTCTTCAGTGGGCCTTGTTTGGAACTCTCGGTTGGCTTCTCTGTTCCTGCCTCTGGTGGGTTTGCTCTGCCTGCAGCTTCATCGTCATCAGGTGTTGGATTGGCCTTAGGTGACTCGCTGGTTGGTCAAGTGGGTTTACTCTGCCTGCAGCTTCATCTTCATCAGGTGTTGGATTGACCTCGGGTGACTTACTGGTTGGTCGGGTGATTGTGCGGGAGCTCGAACTTTGCCTGCATGGTTTTTCCATAGGGTAGGGTTTGGCTCCAGGCACTGTACTGGTTTCTATGGTTTTGGAAGTTTTACTGCTCCTGGGATTGGCAGGTTCGAGCCCCACTTGCCCTTTTTCGACTCGTACTTTGCCGGCTTTCCTTTAGAGTTTTTTGTGGTTTGGTTTCATGATGCCATCCTCCCTAGTTGCTCAATGTGTTCAGACACCTTGGGTCTGGATTGGGGCTTCATGACCAGTACTCACAAAGCTGCAGAGGATTGGTGGTCAGGTACATTCCATAGGGCACACAGTGCAGTGCAAGTTTGTGGCTGTGTGGCATGCCCTATGGAGGATTCAGCTTCCTTCAGGCTTCGTGCACTGGCTCTACTCTAATTGCTTTCATGGTTCATAGCCTAAAACAATTGCGAGAGTGCTTCGGTCCATTGACCTGTGGAGCTGGATGCTTTGAGTACCTTGGCTTTTGAATCTTCAGGTTTAGTTCTCCACATGGTTCACATGCAGGGTGTGTCCAAACTTGTTGTGAATGGGTTATCTCGCTTCTATTACATTTCCACAGAGTAGGCCATGAATGATGTTTTCTTCCATTGGCTCTGCGAGATTTTAAATTGCCCTGAGGTGGACCTCTTCACATAGGTGTGGAACCAGTGCCTTACCTTCAATGTGGCTCAATTCCCCAATTTCATGGCTTTCACAGTGGATGCCTTTCAACTGGATATTCCTTTTTTATTTTCCTCAAGTTCATACGTTGCTCCTGGTTTTGTTCAGCCTGGAGTTGTACTCAGGGAGGTGTGATCCTTCTGGCTCCTTGGTAGCAAGCCCAGCCTTGGTTTCTGTTGTGTCTCACCCAGTATCCATAGTATTCAGCAGATTGGCCTGACAACATATTTCACTAATTCGACTTTCTCTTCTGCTGCATGCATCAGGAGTTTTTTTACTTGGGGTCTATCACCATTTGTATGGTGAGCAGGTGGCTGGTTTATTGGTATCCCACCTGTGTCTCATTTCGCCATCTGATTCTGCATCATCTTTCTTCTGTTATGATTGAGGTCATCCTGCCCTTTTTGCTTTAGTTGTTTCTTGATTGGCCAGCGTATGCTGCTCCTGCACCTTCCTGGTCTATTAACTGGGTTTTGGTCTTTCTTCCTTTACCTCAGTTTATAGTTTCCTCTTCAGTTCATGATGTCTTTCTAAAGGCTGTGTTTTTGTTGACTCTTGCCTTCAGCTGTAGGGTTGGGGAGCACTTCTCTGGAGGCATGGGTTCTGTTCCTTTGGCCCTGGTGAACAGTTTGTTTGCATCCTTTTCCTTCTTTTCTGGCAAAGAATGGGTTGGCTGGCTTTGGAAGGGGTCCTTTGGTAATTGATGATCAGTTGGTTCAGCCGGGAGTGCAACATTTACTGTTTTCACTGACGGCTCTTCACCGCTACCTGCAGACCACTGGTTCTGCCTCAGTGGACATCTTGTTGGTTGAGCCTGTTTCAGTGTTCCTCCTTTTCCAAAACTTACATTTACTGTGTCATCTGCAGTGTCATTAAGTCTAACCAGCCTGTGTCTCCCAGCCTGAGTTCTCTTCTTCCTAGTGCCTTCTGCTTCTCCTCCTCCCAGGTAAGTCTCAATTCTCATCCTCTGTGGTTAGCTAGCTTCAGGGAGCTTCCAGAGGGTTTCCCCTAGAAACCTAGTGTTGGATGTAATGAAACACCTCTTTCTGGTAGAGCCCTTGTGGCTCCTGGATTCCCTCTCACCCTTCCAATTTCATCATCAGCTCTAGAAATAAGTAGGGTAGTTAGCTGGGCTTGTTCCCTGTGAATTGTTTGTGGAATTGTTTGGCAGGTTTGAGGCTTCATATTCTGTGAACCCTCCAGTTGTCTGTAATTGCTCCAGCGGAGCAATGGCCTATAGAATTGCACATGTGATTTGGAGCATTTTACGTCTGCCATCGACTGGGTCAGGCACACAGAAAGGTAATTATCCTAAAACAATCAACTATTCTAGTTGGAACTACTACTGAAATGTCAAACGAGTGGACAGAACCCCCCAAAGAAAAACGAGCACATGAGCATGACGTCACCACATGCCGCGCTTCCGTCTGCGCAGCTCTTCCCCTTCTCAGGAGGGGGAAGGGGGAGCCCCAGACCCCTCACGCCGACTACCCACACCTTCAGTTCTCGGCTGATGGGTTTGAGGCTTGGTTATGTGACTCCAGCTCCTGATTTCTATGTTCAGGGCTGTGTCTTGTGTCTAGTGCTGTCTTGAGGATAGTGCATGAGTGGGAAGTAATTTCACAGGTGCTCAGGCTGCATGTGCTTAGGGATGCCTTCCCTAAGTGCCCAGTAAGTACTGCCCTTGGGGCTTGGGTCCATCTTCCTAAATTCACCTTGGGGTCTACTTCTGTTTGGTCTTTTGCTGCTCGGTAATAGACTGCCCTGAGTGTGCTGGTGGGTTTCTTCCTCTCTTGTTTACCTTAGGGTAAGGGGAAGTTTGCACTGGTAGGGGCGCGGGGGTACTGCACAGCTAGTTATCACCTATTAAAGTGGCCGGCTCTGTTCTGCCTGGGTACGTTGTCCTCTTACAGGGTTTTTCTTTTGTTTTTGTTTTCCTGCCTGGTGGGGGGTCTGCATTTGGTTAGTTACCCCCTATCTATACTTAGGATTATATATATATATCTGTGTTTCTGGGTGGTGTTCCCTGTTAGGCCCCCCATGAGTGGACACGTTTCGGGGGTTCAGATTTTAGAAGCTTGGCACCATTAAGGAACCCTTAATGACACCAGTCTATGGACCCTAGAAAACCCCGCAGGGGAGCAAGGGAGTTCGATAGATGCAGCTCCTGGGTCCCATCTCGCCTTGTGCGAGTTTGAGGGATGCTCTCTCTTTTCGTCTCAGGGTGACTCACTGTTTTTGCCTCCATCATGCTACCTGTTGGGTTGGTGACACCATCGACCCAGAGTCTTGCGAGTTTTGTTGCTTGTTAGTGACTCTGATCACCCAGTCCACTGATGACTATCAGTGGACTGTGATCCGGGTGCAGGCAGCTCAGGCGTTGCATGCTAGATATAGGTTGTTGCAACGCGCTAGGTCGATTGCTAACCCAGAAGCCCTGAGGCTGCCCCGTTTTGCTTATAGGGACCCGGACTTGGGGGTGTTGGTCGCTTCAGCCTTGGTTCAGTCCGCACCTCCTCATTCTTCCCCTGCTGTGGAGCATTCTGGTTCTCCCCTTCCCCCCTGCTTCTTGCTCCGAAGCGTCTGAAGGCTTCGAGGTCGGGGCAGGGTTTAGACAGTTCTGAGACTCGGGCAGTCTTGGGGGTGGCAACAGAGGCATTCGAGACGGTTCCTCCAGCCGTGGCGTCGGGATCTGACCATTGGGCCCCCCTCCCTCCCTCATTCCTGCCTTTCCGGCTGCCCCGGCTTTTTCTTTTGAGGCCGGGGCTTTGGAGGATGACTCAGCCCCGGGTCCTGCTGTGGAGGTTTCAGGAGTTGGGGAGGGGCTGACTTGGGGGCCTCGGGCCCCATTGAACCCCGCCTGGGTTTTTCTACCCTCCGAGCGGGGCTTACTGTTGCAAGGAGTGGGGTTTTCTTTCCCCCCCCTCCTCTGTACGAGTTGGATTGGGTGTCGGTTTCTCTCCAGGTTCAGTTCCGTGTCCCTTTGGGTCCGTCGGTTCTGTCTTTCCAGAGGCTTTCGGCTTCCCACATCCAGCCTCATGAGGTACAGGCGGCTATTGCGGCTTACTTCCTGCGCAATCCGGATTATGCCTCTATAATGGATCTGTCTTCATTCAGGTTTGGGTCTTCATCTCCCTACTGGGTTCGTTATGAGGCTCTGGAGTCATCCTGGCTAGCAGACTGCCCTTTCGTCTCGTCTTTGGATGCTTGGAGTACTTTCTGTCGTACCCGCATGTTACGTCTTTCGTTTTGGTATCAAATTGTGCGCAGTCTGAAGGCGCTCATTTCGAAACCACTCCCAGATTAATCGAATAAAATTTAAATTTTTAACAAATATTTTAATGAGTGATGCCGGACCTCGTCACCGGAGTAGAATCAAGAGAAAAATTTGGTGCGCCTACGACGTTTGATGTCGTAGGCGCACGAAAGTGTTAATGGGCCTAAATGAATGCTCATGCCATTTTCAGTTGGCTCTGCTGGATGTATGGGCTCCCGGAGGTGGACCTTTTCACATCAGCTTGGTTGAGGCGTCTCCCAGTATATGTGGCGCCCTTCCCCGATTGCAAAGCCGTCGGGATCTATGCTTTTTGGCAGAACTGGTTGAGGTGGGGTTACCTGTACCTCTTCCCTTCCCCCCCGTTTTAGCTGTTGCTCCAGGTTCTAGCTCGCTTGGAGACATACCAGGGGAGAGTAGTCCTCTTTACTTCTTGGTGGCAGGCCCAGCCTTGGTTTCAGGCACTGCATGCTCGGTGTCTTGATAACCCAGGGGGTTTTCCCGCGGCTCCACCTCTTTCAGTAAATCGGTCTGGTCTGTTGCGTGGCTGGTTCGATCTTCTAGAGTCTTTGTATCTGGTATTTTTGACTTGAGTCTATCACCATCTGTGTGATTATCAGGTGGCTTCGTTAATGGTGTCCTACCTGCATGCTTCGTCTTCGAAGTATGAAGGTAGGACAGTATGAAGTTTCCTGGCAGTCCTCCCATTTCTTTTTTGTCTCTTCTTAGGTGTACTTTTCTTTCTGTTAAGGTGGTCTTGTTCTCTGGAGGTCGGGTCAGGGAGCTTCATGCTCTCCTCTGGCGCATGGGTTTCTACTCTTTTGGATCTGGTGATAGGTTTGTTTGTTTACAGCTGTCTCCTTCTTTTCTGGTGAAGAATGAGATGGCTGCTTTCCAGAGAGGTCGTTGGGTTGTTGATGCTTGGTTGGTCAGGCCGGGGGTGCATCATATGTTGTGTCCGGTTGGCACTTTCCGCCATTATTTACCCGCCACGGCATCTGTGTCCAAGGACGTGCTTTGGGTTGATCCGGTTTCCCTTCTTCCCTGTTCCAGGGTTCGGATCTCTCAGGTTGTTCGCGGGGTTATTCGGTCTAGCCAGCCTGTTGCCTATCCCTGTGCCCATGACATTCGTAAGTTTGCTGCTCTTCTTGCCGTCTTCGGTAACATGTCTTGGGCTGACATTCAGGCATGGGGCTTTTGGCGGTCGAACAAGGTCCTGGCTGCGCGCTATCTGGTCGTTGTTCCTGGGCCTATTCGGACCTGTGTTACTTTGGGTCGGCGGTAGCAGCCAGTTGTCTCGAATTCGTGTTGAGGAGCGAGTGCCAACTGCCTTTTGGGTAAGTCCCTCTTGTTTTCGTCTTTTTGGTAAGTAGCTCCGGGGAGCCAAAGGGGCTCTCCCCAGAAAACCAACATTGAATGTGATGAAATGCCATTTTTTGTGGGCAAGACCCGGAGGTTCCCTGGCATCCCTTCAGTCGGCGTTTTTTTCGCGTGTTTTGACATCCAGCCTCTGAACTGAAAGTGTGGGTAGTTTGCGTGAGGGGGTCTGGAGCTCCCCTTTCCCCCTCCCAGGGGGAGGGGGCGCTGCGCAGACGGAGGCACGGCATATGGTGATGTCATGCTTGTTTGTTCGTTTTTCTTTGGGGAGTTCTGTCTACTCGTTTGACTTTTCAGTAGTAGTTTCAACCAGAATAGGTGTTTGTTTTGGGATGCTTACCTTTCTGGGTGCCTGACCCAGTCGTTGGAAGACATAGAATGCTCCAAATCACATGTGCAATTCTATAGGCCATTGCTCCTCATGCCTCTCTGAGGGGGTCAGGTTCTGGCTCATGGTCTCCAGTAGGCCTAAGAACTCCATTCACACTGACTGATGCCAAAGTCTAATATATCCATATCAGCCTGGATAGCTCTGGGGGAGCCTCTGGGTCTCACCCAGAAAATGGCATTTCATTACATTCACTGCTGTTTTTTTTTTAATTTTGTATAATAGTAAGTGTTGATGGCCAAAATGAGGAGGAGGAAGCTGGCCTGTGTATAGTCAAGCCTGGCCTGGCTCGGGGGAGTAGAAGAACTCCCGAAACCCTCTCCAGGTATGATGTCAACAGTTGGTGCAGGTGAGGACTGGTATGAGGGTTTGTTGGGTTAGATATGCATTAATCAGTGGATTTGGTCTCAGTTTCTTTTATGTGGAGCTAAAGTGGTGAGTTAAGTTAATCTCAGTATTTCTTTCTTCACTTTGTTAAATTCATTCCTCTTTTTAGTTATGTGTTCTAATCTATTATAATCTATAATCTATTATAATCACTAGGTCCTAATCTATTTTTTTTGTTGATTTCTTCAACACTGAATGTAGTTGATCCATCTAGTTTTCATCATTTTAAGAGATTTGTTGCAAAATGAAAGGTGGTGTTGCACTCTGCAAGGTTCTTGTATTGGTTGTTGTGGTTTGTGATTGTGGGGTACACTACCTGTGTACCCTAACTTAATTCTACAAATTGTTTAGATAAATGTAAGTTTATCATTGTTTATTGCAGAATGTGAAACAAGAGCAGGCAAGAGCATTATCTTCAGGGGACCATGCTGAACCTTCAGGAAGTGATGCTAGTTTCATAAACAAGTCTTCAGGTCTTCAGACAGGATCTCAGAAGCATGGTCCTGTCAGCCACACTATTGATCATACAATTCAGCAACCTGGATCATCCAGGCAAAGTATCCAAGGAGTACCATTATCTCGGGCCAATGTTGGTCATCCTTTGGCATCTAAATACAATTTCACATCTGAAAATCCCTCAAATCTTGGGCTTCAAAATACAGATACAAGACCGCTTCCTCTCGTTTCCTTACCACAAACCACTCGCAGCACTTCTACAGTGACACACCTGCCACCGTGCAAGCCCATGAGGCATCTGTCAATGACACAAACACAAAGCAGGATTCAAGAACCATTATCAGAATTGCACCTACAAAATAATGACCATGACAGTCCTCAAGGATTATATGTTTCAAATAGCTTAAGTTCTGAATGTAAAAAAGGTTACCCAAATCAGATGGCAGCATTACCAATAACATATACAACAGCTCGAAGCCAGTCAGATATTCAGAGTGAAGATGGTATTTATGAACCACAGAGTGAACCCCGGTCTGCACAAGGACACCAAGGGATGAATAAAACACATCATGAGCCACGCGAACAAATTCATCATGAACAAGATAATAAAAATGCCTTTAGAGAAGTTCATAAAAATAGTTCTCCTATATTTCATCAAAAAGATGAATCAACGTCAAGCCTCTGTAACCCAAAAGCTGCTGTCCGCAGTAGTTTTCATACTGGATCAGAATTCCTGGTGCCTAATTCTAAACAGATAAGAATACAAACTCGGTTGGAGCAAGACAGTCATCAGACGAAGCCTTCGGCAAGGATAGCTCCTGTTCAGATTCAGTCTTCAAATAATCTTTTGCCGATTTCTGACCTTTCACATAGTTCTTCCAATGTTTTACCTTTATATCAAATTCCAAAAGATTATAGAATTACTCCATCTTTGCATAACATTCCAGCAGCTTCTGAAGACGTATTGCCACGGAATCAACTTCCCAATGATTCACGGCTGCATCAAACTTCACAGCGTTTGACTGATCGAGTGCTGAGTGAGAATATTCAAGAAGGTAATTTACCTGTAGAGTCAAAGGTTTATTCTGATAAAGCCTTAGCCTTGAGCATTGACAACGAAGATTCAAATTTAGGAATAAATATTGGTTCCAGTGACACAAAAAGTGGTTCACTGGTGGAGAAATCTACTCCAGAAAACCGAAGAAACAGACAGACACACGAACCTAACGTCATTGTTGTTGACATTGATGACATTGATGACAATGATTCATCCATGAGTATTGATCTCACTCAGTCTGACACAGAATCTTTACAAACGAATATAATAAACAATGTAGATGCAAATATAAGCTGTGACAAAGATAATGAGCTCATAAAGGGGTTACAGACAGAAGAGCAAATTAATGTTGCTGATGAAACTAGAGGTAATTTAGCTCCAGTCAAAAAAACAGATGTGTTAGGCAAGAGAAAGAGAAATATTACTGAGAAATCAATTGAAGAAATGAATAAAAGTGTTGAAAATCCTAACAAATATTTGAAGAAAGTTCATCTAAGTGAGTCGTCCAAGTTACAGAGTGAGAGAGAAAAATCTTCAAATGAGCAAGTTATGAATACTGATTCTAAAGCAAATGAAAGTAAATATTCAACAGTAAAACCAATTTCCCTAAAAGAAACTTTAAGAGACTGGAGATATAAAAGTTGTTCAATAGCTGTTGAAAGATTACCCTCAGCTTTATTAAATAAAGCTAGTGAGGGTAAAGTAATCATATCGGATGAAAATAAGAGCATAACACTGCAATCTCCAGTGTCTGAAGTCAATAAGACACCATCTCCAGATGGTATAAATGTTCCAGTTAAGAATAGTTTGCTTATGCTGGATGATGATGATGATGACGATTTACCAGATATAAACATGCCTCTGGTCAGTAAGAAGCATACTTCTCATTCTCCTTTGTTGCATAGTTCAGAGTCCACTGAATCAAAAATGAAAATAAATGACCATTCTAGAAATGCAAAAGTAATTAAGAGAAGAGACAGCGAGGGCAGCTTTAGAACAAGTAAGATAAATGCGCCTGGAAGGAGACACGAGCGTCAAAGCTCACACGATTCTCTTCAGAGTACTGATGCAGCAGCAGATCAGGCTTTGCCTCAGGGAAGAGATATTATGGACAAGGTTGAACCATCATCTACAAGCGGTGAGAAGAGCAGGCTTCTTGATCAGGCTTGTTATAATAACATATCAAGTGCCATAAGGAAAACTACTGATTCAGTTTTCAATACATCAGAAGCTTCAATATCTAGAAAGAAAAAGTGCAGTAAATTGGACTCTTCAGCAGAAAGAATAAGTACAAGAAAAACATCTGATACAGCTTTTAATATATCAGAAGCTTCTACAGCTATAAAGAAAAACAGCAATGAATACATCTCGCCAGCAGAAAGAATAAGTACTGGACAAAATTGCATTGATGATGCAAGCACTTCTGATGTCCTTATAAATTCTGGCCTTCCTCCAAATATTAAAATAAAAAAGGAAAAAATTGAAGAGCTTTGTTTGGAAAAGATTAAAATAAAGAAAGAGAAAGTGGACAACGAGAATAGTGATATTAAGGTTAAGATTGAACGTGATGAAAATTCTGAACATGTACTCGAAAAAGAATTGGAGGAGGACGATGTTATTTGCATATATTCCCAAGTGGATGAAACTATATGGGTTTCGAGTGACGAAGAGGAGTCAACATCACAAGATATCTCCTTTGGTCCTATGCCCTCAAGTCCAGACTTGGATATTGAGGACCTGTTTAGAGAAGACGAAGAACAAAAACAGAACCAGGTTAGCACAAACCTCTCAAAGAATGATATACCAGAGGAAGAAGTTGCAAATGATGACCTTTGGTTCCCAGTTCTGTCTCAATCCTTTTTTGATGATGACATTGAGAGAAAGGGATCTAAATCTACTTCTGATATGAATTTTCAAGAATCTTTGCCTGGTCCAAGTGGAATAAATACAAATAAAGTTAATGATAATGATGATGATGATGATGATGATGATTTAAGTACCAGTAAATGGTGGCCAGTCCTTTCACAAGACTTTTTACATGAAATAAATAATGATAAGGTAGCTTGTGCATCTAAAGATAATCAAGCACCTCCAGACTGCTCTAGAAATCTTAATGCTATTATTGAAAAATTAGGAAATAAAAACAAACGAACCGCTCAGCTGACAGATCCCAAAATGCCACCGCCACGAACAAAAAGTAATAACCTTAGGAAAAGAAGCAGATCGCAAGAGTATTATGGAGTAAAATCACATCGTGATAGTTCTGATTATTTGTTTGATAGGAGGAGTAAAGATACTCGACATGAGAGGAGGAATGAGGAACCAGTTTCAAAGATTAAGAAATCTGAGGAGAAGTTTACCAGGCGAAGAACTATGTCTACTCCACCACAAAGAATGAAACACAGAAAAAGTTCGCACTTGAGGGAAAATTTAACCACTAAATTTAATCTTAAACCATATAAAGCAACAATGGAACACAAACCTAGGGAGAAACATCATCTTGTTCCAAAAGTAAAAAAGGAACACCAAACAGCCAAAGATGATGACAAAAGAAAAGCTGTTAACAGAAAATCACACCTAGTAATTGATCAACCACGTGCTGGTGAAAACATTTCTATTCAAAAAAAGAATGTACAAAAGGAGTGTCAGCCTCAAGAGAAACCTCGAACTAAAGTAGCAGCCAAAGTCACAAGAAAAACACGCTCTGAGAGATTGATTGATGTCGATATTTTTTCATCTTCTATAGTACCCTCCCACAAAAATAAAAAATCAAGTTATAAGATTCCCAAAAATTCTGAAAAGGATGCCATCCCCAAAAACTCTGAAAAGGATGCCACCAAGATAACGAAATCGAACGTTATTGCTCCTGAAGTTGGCCTTGTCTTAACAAAATCTAGTAAAAACATGTCAAGTAATATATTACCCCCTGTGAAGGAACCACAGAATAAAGTTGTTCTACCAGATAGTGACCAAGAAAATACAACCTTGCTCTTTCAGACCGATAAAGAAAACAAAATCTTTAACAATAATGGAGAAAAACCTCAAGGAAGTACAGGGATATTAAAATTGGCTTTTGAAACACACGACACCAAAAAGAAAAAAGTACATTTTCCATCTAATTCTGAGGATCTTGTCAGTACTTTGGCTATATCACCTCGCAAAGACTGCAATAGGATCGGAATACCAGAAGTGAGAGCACGAGAGGTTCTGCCCAAAGAACTTGTAATGTGGAAGAATCCCATTCCTCCAAATTTCATGGATCACTTCATCTATCATATATGCCGGTGGAATTATGACTGGCTAGAGGTTTACAAACTTGATCAGCAGAAACGTGAAATAAGTGGTAAAGGTTGTTCACGCCCACCACCAGTAGTCACCAGTACCAATTACCCAACTCTAATACTATACAATTCCTTTGATGATTATAAAGAAATATTCAGCAATCTCATGTACTTAGAGATTTGGGAGAGCATTTATCAAGATTGGATGAAGTACAAACATAGTAACATATGGCTGCCCACACAAGTAGATGGGGTGAGAGAAGCTTTTGTTGAAACTGGTAGAAATCCACTTAAATTTTGGACTCTGAATATGTTTACATTAATTGCACAAGATCAAAGCAACAAAGGGCTACATCCTAGGCAAGGGTCACTTATCTCTCTCAGAATTCAAGAGGGTGTTAAAAAGATGCACATCTTTGGCCATGTGGAATTTTTCCAAAAAAAGCGTAAGCGTATGATATCAAGAGAATTGGAACAAGCGTGTCCCTATGGTGAAGTATGCCTTATGATGGTTGTGCGAGTAGCCAAAGAAGTTATTCAGAAAGTTAGAAGTGGCAAAATTATTCTGATCAGTAATGTGTCATATATTCGACCAAGCACTCGCACATGGGAGGGATTATGTAAACTACCTTGCTCTCCTCTTTGTCAGGCAATCCTGCAACCAAGCAAAGATGTCTTTAAATGTGAATATGAGTATGGCCAATATTTAGTTGATGGGATGTCCCTCAATGATGTACAAGTACAGGCAGTTAGAGAGGTCAGTAGTAAGTGTGTGTCTAGTTATCACATGCCAAAAATGAGTCTGATCCATGGTCCACCTGGCACAGGCAAAACTCGCACGATCACAGCTCTCATAGCTCAGATTGTGAAGTTGTCTTCTGTTAGAAAGTTAAAATTTTGCCGTATTTTGGTGTGTGCCCCATCTAATGCTGCAGTTGATGAGCTGACATTACGACTCATCAAGCTTCGGGAAATTGGCATAGCTTTACGTGTTGTGCGAGTTGGTGTCAAAGGAAGTATCAACCATGAAATCAAGAACTGCACTCTAGATTCATTTGTTGAAAAACAAATTAAAATGGAACTTTCATCACCTAAAAATGTTTCCGCCAAGCAGGAGTGGGATCGAAGGAGTGCCACCGTGAAAGAGGCTGCAGACAAACTGCAAGAGGCCAGAAAGGCAAATGTAAATAAGGCGATCTTAACCCAAATGGAAATTCGTCTGAATCAACTAGTTCGATCAAAATGTGACTTTGAGAGAAGTTTTCGTTCACAGCCAACGGCACAAGAAAGATATGAGCTACAACAAAAGTGGCAGCATCAAATTCTTATCAATGCACAAGTCATAACAACAACCCTCGGAGGATGCTTGTCTGGAGCCATGTCAGACGTATTTGGTAAAATCCCTGATAGTTTTACCTGCTGCATTATTGATGAAGCAGGTCAGTGTAAGGAAACAGAAACATGGCTGCCACTTCTGTTTAAAATCCATAAACTGGTACTAGTTGGAGATCATCGGCAACTCCCAGCAACTGTACTCTCCCAGCTGGCACAAGACAAAAACCTAAAGCAGTCATTGTTTGAGCGACTGTATCATCGTTTTATGATAGAACTACAGTTAAAAGAGATGATACATACTCTGAATATTCAATATCGAATGCATCCAGAGATTGCAGCATGGCCTTCTCAGCATTTCTACATGGACATGTTAACCACCCATCCTAATATTGCTGATCAGCGGAGCTGTGACCTCAAGCCATACATAGTGTTTGATCTAAAGGTTAGTAAGTATAGTACTTTAATATAATAGATCATGCCTTGAGGAAATCACATCAAGGACATGTGTTTTTGTGTTTGAAATTGAAGATTTTCATGTACTGTACTGTACAATTTTATCACATAAATATTTGAGGTTATCCTTTGCTACGAAAAATTAATTCTTGATGGCCTATTAATTTTGTTATTGTTTAGAAATTTCCTTCACAATTCAGTTATCAACTCTAACAAAAGTGTTTGATGAATATTATATAATACCTAGATGTCCTAAACATGATGAATCCATGTTTTTCTTAGGGGAGACAAATAAGAGCAGAAGTAACAAATGCTGGCACACCTATCACTTGGGCATTAGGTAGCATCAAGGAATGCTTTTTATTTTTAATATTTATTGAATTTTGGTGTTAGGACAGTATTTGGAGAACACTTATCAACTTGACATTGTCTTGTGTATGGTGGTATACAAATCATCAGTGCAGTATCGTGTCAGTCATCACACACACACACTCACTCCTTGGTCCTACTTCCCTTGCTGTTAGAGATGCTTATTTCATATTATGAGAGAGAAGATTCATGTTAACTACTTGCAACATATTCCTCTTCGCCAAGATCTTCCAAGTCAAAGCCCTTACAATTTTGTGTAATGTCAATGATCCCTTGCACAATCACGCTGCCTGTTCAGTGACTGGATGGTGATGTGCTAGATATGGTACACATTTCTTTGGCCCAGGAAGGAAACTTCAGGCTCTCAGGATTTTTGTCAAATGACGTTCCCATAAAATCAGTGGGTCTTTCAAATACAGTATCATGGGACAGCACAAATCACCTCCAGGCATTTGGAGCATAGTGACCAATTGCTTGAGAGCATTTGGAGTGGTTTAAGTGTTAAGGAAGTGTAATAAGCATATCAAGTTTACAAATAGTGGTCAAATCCACTAAATTCACACGAACCATGTCCACTGCAGTCGCAACTTTAATATTCACAGCCACCTCAATCATAATACAGTATACACAACCACCACAATCACAATATACTCGACCACCTTAACTTTAAAACACACAACCACCTCAATTTCCCTTATGTGACTGAAACATTTAATTTTCATTTTTTAATTTGGTCGACATGTGCTGTATTTTTTTCACTTCAACTAGACTTCTCAAGAACAAAGGGACGAAAAAAATGAGTTGTACAATCCCGCCGAAGCATCGCTGATCCGTCTTATTATTGAGGTCTTGGAGCCACAAGTTGGAAATCAAAAAATTGGAGTCATAACACCATACCAGCGACAAAAATTTCATCTTGAAGAAAGACTTGGAAGGTACACTGGTCGGTTGAGTCTTGCTATAAATACAGTTGATGCTTTTCAGGTGAGTTATTTTCTGCTTTTAACTTGTTGTAAATTTGTATACAACAGTAAAACAGTTCACATGCTGATGTAATTGTGACCAGACGTGTGGTACAGTTCTGTATTTATTGGGTCATTTTAAGATGTGAATGCAATTCAAAGAATGGTAAGGGTGAAATAAAAGGGGGTTAAAAATACAATATTGTATGAGCACCTGTATCTAGTTAAGAAAAGGATTAAGTGGGACATTGGTTGCAGTTGCTCTTTAGTTTTCTGTTTCTACACACGACCTTGTCCTGTAGTGCATTCCCACCATTTGTAACCAAAACATTATACAGTACTGTATTTTCTCAGTCTCTCTCTCTTGTATGTTTTAACAATGAAATTTTCCTTATGCATCTTTTCACATCCCTTGATGTAGTGAAGAACAGGGAATAAAATATCATCTGGTATTAAAAGTCTGCTCTCATCTTGGTGTTGCTCTCCATCTCTTGAAGCATTGTCATGCATGAGGTTTTCCTTCTTTCTTCCATAGCAGTTCTCTCTAGTTTATTTTGCCCTTTATGCTGTATGTAGCTGATGTCTGCACTGATGTTGACTTGTAGGTATGTTTATAGCTGGTGTCTGCACTGATGCTCACTTGTATGTATGTTTATAGCGGGTGTCTGCACTGATGCTCACTTGTATGTATGTTTATAGCGGGTATCTGCACTGATGCTCACTTGTAGGTATGTTTATAGCTGGTGTCTGCACTGATGCTCGCTTGTAGGTAAGATTATAGCTGGTGTCTGCACTGATGCTCGCTTGTAGGTAAGTTTATAGCTGGTGTCTGCACTGATGCTCACTTGTAGGTAAGTTTATAGCGGGTGTCTGCACTGATGCTCGCTTGTAGGTAAGTTTATAGCTGGTGTCTGCACTGATGCTCGCTTGTAGGTAAGTTTATAGCTGGTGTCTGCACTGATGCTCACTTGTAGGTAAGTTTATAGCGGGTGTCTGCACTGATGCTCGCTTGTAGGTAAGTTTATAGCTGGTGTCTGCACTGATGCTCACTTGTAGGTAAGTTTATAGCGGGTGTCTGCACTGATGCTCACTTGTAGGTATATTCATGTGAGAGCACCACTTGGCTCCTACATATTCCAACTTGTTTTTGAGGAATGTTACAAATATAGTATACCATTAGAAGAATGCTTTTTGCTTTTGTCATGTTTTTCACTTCAGTAATATTAATATCATGTCATTGTGTTGCTTGAAACTTACAGCATTTATATATGATTGCAAAAGGAGGGTACCTATTGAAATTAGGCATTTTAGTCAATGGTTTCTATTACTTGAGCCAGTTTAAGTTTTCATCATGGTTAGAGCCATCTCTGTAGGATGTTATGACAGAATGTGATTAAGATATGTATTGTTTCTTTTATAGAACGTATGTATATACATTCCAATGGTCGTCATCAGTGTAGGAAATGTCAGCATTGTGGAGAAATGTCTGATAGACCACTGGGATATTATGTAACACAGTTTCAAACCAAATAAGATTTCAACTTAGGTTTAATAGTGCAGAAATTGTTAAATGTGGTCATTTGTTGTTGTGCCCTCTGCCTGTTGAGTTCTTGCATTCCTTCCCCCACTTATCTGGCTTTCAGCACTGCTGTTTTCTAACTCCTGCTTTATCTCTATATCTTTGCATTTTTTCATTATTTTCATTAGCTTCAGAATTGTCTCAAATTTTATTGATAATTGAGCTATACAGTTGGAAGATGATGTACATTAATGTAAAGTATTGGTGTTTGAGTTTTCATATTATTCTATTGCCTTTTGTATTAAGTATGTTTTTCGGTGAATAATGAATGTTGAAATCATGGTGAAATGGAAGATCAAATTGAGAGTATATCCTTGAATAGGGCTTCTTAGATACTGTATGTCTTGAGGCCTTAAGGCATAGGATATCGGGAAATTCAGGTATAAAATAAAAAATTTCTTTTTATAGGGGCAAGAGCGAGACATCGTCATTCTCTCCTTCGTGCGTGCTAACACAGCTGCCAACATTGGATTTCTCTCACAGCGTCAGAGGTTGAATGTGGCTCTTACCAGAGCAAGGAAAGTCTGCTATATTGTGGCAAGTCTTTCTTCACTCTCAAAGAACAAGGACTGGCAGTCACTCATCCAAAATGCAGAAAGTCGTGGTCTTGTTAGTGTCATAACAGAAAAGGAAGAACTGGATAAAAATTATATAAAGTCTATTTTGCAAAAGCAGTGAATGTTGTTAAAAACCTATTGTCAGTTTGTCAAGTACTGCATTGTATAATAAATTATGTACAGATCTTTATATACAATACAATACTGAACTGTTTCTTGGCCTGGAGCCCTAGAAGGCAGCACTTGAAATGTATCTGTACTGCATTTCAAGCTTGGCTAATTTAATTTTAAACTAAACAAATATTGAAGGATAAAAATAAAATTGGTGCTGCTGTATATTTTCCAGTTAAGCAACAAGATCTCAAACCTTTAGTGCAGTACTGAAGAATAGACAAGTGATATCCCCATTTGGAACAAACTATTGAAAATTTTGTTTCGATGTTATACATTTTATTTACTTAAAATTTATGAAAAATTCTTAAAGTATTTCATTGAAGAGGCTTGCTACAAAATGTTAAAATTCCCCAAGTTAGCTTTTATGATGAGACCAAAGCCTTGGGAGGCCATGGACTTTTACCAATGTTCTCATAATGAAAGGTTGATACTGTATTTTTGACATGACGTTTATATTTCTTTAGTTGGGCATCGGACATGTTCTCCATTTGGGAATAATTTGTTTTACATTTAAACAAAAATGCGTTTGTAAGAAAGAAAATATAATCGTTGTGTTTGTAAGAAAGAAAATATAATCAGTGTTTATAATTCACTTAGTAACCAGCATTACAATAAAGATTTTATGTATATAAATTTAGTGTGCTAGAAATTAGTTTTATGTATATTATACGGTACTGCCTTACTGATGTAAGTGCAAGTTGTTAGGATTTATACTCTGCATAAAATAAACAGATACATGACCACTTAAATTATTTTATTATAATTTTTCCTTGTGATATATTGTATAAGTCTTTCTAGTTCTCAAGCTGGGAATAAGGAGAGTAGCCCAAGAACACCTAGAAAATGTTTGACATGTCACGCCATTAAAGTGTACTGGCACGATGGAACATTAAGACTCCCAAGAACAAAAGCAGAGTTGTCAGCCAGCCAGCATGATTTCAGAACCTTATAATATAGCCAAAATGGTGATGCCAACCTGAACACACAGGAAATTGAGTCCTTCCTACCACCATTACAGGTGGAGAACGCCTCAGGCTAGGTAACTTATTGGCCACATGAGCTTTACTCATGGTTACTTAATTTAACAAACACTTGTCTTACTGTCATAAATGTCACACCACTAGAAGAATGTCATAATTTTTGGGACAAAGGAAAATCTTGTTTTAGCAATGTCCTTTGGAGTTGTCTCTTGGGGAATCTGATACAAATGACATTTAATATCTTCTCTTGTATTGGCATCCTGAACATTATCTACATTTTTTACTTGTTTACTGCTCTATCACAGACAGTACTAAACAATCTTCCATACATGGTGCCTTCTTTTGATACCTGTCTTTGTACTTTAAGTGACTTCAGCTTGGAGGGATCACTCTGCTACTTAAATGCTCTAAGAAGACAGCCTTCACTGGTGTACTCATCGGTAGCTTGCTTGTTTCTTTGGAATTATAAATTGTATACCATACAGTAATTCTATTATATTTAATATTTATTTATATAATTTTACAAATTGTGTCAAATAACAATGCTAAAATATATACCATAAATATATGTACTGTATAACATTTTGGTTTTAAAAATCAAAACTATGAAACTATGAATTTTCATATGCTGGAACCAAGAACTTCAAGAGCTAAGCAAATAGCAATTTGCAAATCTGTTTTACAATATTTATCTGCAGTTAACCAGATTGTTTGTGCAAAACTAGAAAGCTTCTCTTCCATTAACAATTTTCAGATACAACCATGAAATGAGCCTTGAAGCATTTGTTCAAGTGTGTACGCTTCCTGTAAAACATTGTGCTATCCCAATTAATTGTTCCACAAAGCAAAGATCTTACTGAACCCCAGGGTAGGATAAATTTTTTGGTCAAAGCCGGTCAACATTCTATATGAACATAGCACAAAAGTTTTCAAACTGTCCCATTCTGGTCAAACTAGTGCTAGGAGAATACTATCACTGGAGAATACTCAATTTGCCTCAAAATGTAGCCAACACGTGCAATCATATAACTGAAATGACTTTCAAAATTGCTATGTGGTATCACAAGCACTGCCAAGCTTCCCCTTACTAACTACAGAATGACCCACTAGGTCATTCTAACTACCAGCAGGTGGCATCACCGATACCACAAAATTTTGACCATACAGTAGCTTCTTACATTCTTCCAAACTGGCTCTGGTGGCAGCTCTTTGGGCATATGGATAGCAGAACTACTGCACTGAGAGGCTTGGGTCGTGTGGCACAGCAGTCAGTGCAGTTGGGTCACAGCCGGAAGGTCCTGGTTCAATTCCTGCGGCAAAATAGATAATGCATTTGGGCAACAGTTCCTTCCACTCAAAGCCTAATTTTTAAATATTTAATTTACTGAAGGGGAAAGGAGTTAGTTTCATTTTGATAGGCATTTCTGAATGGTTAATTGTTTCACAATTCAAGTAAAATAGTATTAGCAAAAATTATGTCAGCAAATTATCAGTGGAAATGGTATATGGCTTTAAGTTCTAAGAGTATAGCAGTTAACTGGTAAAAAAAAAAAAAATGTAAAATAGAAAAGTTGCATGATAATACTGTAAATGGAAGTTTTCATCTCCAGATGAAAAGTAAACAGGCGTAAACAATTTGTTTGTTTAATTATCTGCAGTTGACTCCAACTGCCTCAGTCACAGTCTTGAAGCCATCACGTCTAAAAAGAAGAGAAAACCAAGATCATACATACTAGAGATAAACACTAAAATATGCTCACAACAATGCATTCATACATACTGTATATACTGTACATATAAACTGTACTGTATATACATATTATACATACATACTGTACTATGATGGAAATACATCATTAATTATTCAGGTATTCCTTGGGAGATTATAATCTCTAGTCATCCTGTCAGGCATATCTAAAACTACATACAATATAATGAATAAACTTAAACAAAAACACACCTTTTCTCCCACCTCTGTATGTAAAGTACATTAAAGTTTAGTCATAAAGAGGGAGGGAAAGAATGGGGGTGGTTTATGTGATTAATGCATGGGTGGTGGGAGGGTGGGTGTTGATGGAGTAGGTGATGGAGTAGGTGGTGGGAGGGTGGGTGTTGATGGAGTAGGTGTTGGAGGAGTGGGGGTACAGTATAACCAACTGCAAACAGGTGGCAGTTGTGTGATACTATAGTCAGGTGTACAGTCGGTGGCAAGTGAAGCAGCCACTTTCTAACATTATGGGAAACAAGCACATGAGCTCATCAAATAAGTTGCCACGACATGTACCAACTACAGTACCACCAATTTTAAATTTGTTACACAATTTTATTTTGTATTTAAAATCAAAACATAATAAAACATGCAGGTTAATCAATTTATTTCACATTATAAACATAAAATGAAAAATGTATGAAGCAACTACAACAGCTGCTTCTGTTTAGACTTCATTTTGCAAAGTTATCTATATCAAGAAACTTATTCCAATGCCATAGTGCTTGAACAAAGTTGAAGGAAAGACCCAATATATGTGCAAGTGTATTAAAAAAACTAATTTTTGGATGTAACATACATCTTTTCTCAAGGTGATGTATACTATGTTCTGAAAAAGATTTTAGGGGTTTGCACTTTTTGTCTGTCAGAGTGCCTCACTTTGTGTCCATCATTAGACGTCGTCGTCGTGATTATGCTCCCTCAGGGATTCTCCAAGGAATGTCAAATTTTCAGAGGAATGGAAATTTTAAGAAAAATTGAGCACTCTGAAAATTTAACATCCCTTGGTGAGTTCCTGGGGAGCATAATCACAACATCTAATGAATACTAATAATAAGTGAAGCTCTCTGTGAAAAATATAAATGCAGATTCCTAGAATCTTGTTCAGAACATTGTACAGTATACAGCACCTTGAGAAAGTATGTAGGTTACATCCAAAAATTGGGTTTTTAATACACTTACATGTATATTGGGTCTTTCCTTCATCTTCAATTACTGTATTTTATCATAATCCAACTGTCTTTAAATAAAGAGCAAAGCTAATCCAGACAATCTATCCTCACCCACTGTAGTATGAAGGAAGGACTATGTGCTTGAGCCAGCTAAAGGGTCATTCCATAACCGTGCTAGTTATTGGTAAGTCAGAAAAATATGACTTATTGCACAAGTCAGTGAAAAAAATGTTGAGAAGGAACCACTTTGAAGAAATGTTCTCAGGGGGGATCAACCACTTTCCCTGATCCTTCCTAGCTCGCTATTTGACTGGGTGTGTTATACAGGTATCTTAAAATTTAACTGCCGAGTTTTATATCTTAAAATATAACTGCAGAGTTTTATATCTTAAAATATAACTGGAAAGTTTTATATCTTAAAATATAACTGGAAAGTTTTATATGATGCATTCAAATATGAATGTATAATTTGCATTACCTTAAAAGATCTTCTAGGTCACTAGTGATTTTCTGTACCAGAGATGGACCATGGTAGATGAGACCAGTATAAAGTTGAATGAGGCTGGCTCCTGCACAGATCTTCTCGTAGGCATCGTCGCCACTTGCAACACCACCGACGCCAATGATGGGGACTGACCCTGTTATTATATTAACATGTTGTGAGGTCTCTTTTATAGAAATAAATGTTTAGGCATTTCAGACAATTGTGCAATTGCAATATGGCCCTAACCACAATAACTTTGTAAGGTCACATTGTCGAGGTTATCTTGAGATGATTTCGGGGCTTTAGTGTCCCCGCGGCCCAGTCCTCAACCAGGCCTCCACCCCCAGGAAGCAGTCCGTGACAGCTGACTAACACCCAGGTACCTATTTTACTGCTAGGTAACTGGGGAATAGGGTGAAAGAAACTCTGCCCATTGTTTCTCGCTGGCACCCGGGATCGAACCCGGGACCACAGGATCACAAGTCCAGCGTGCTGTCCGCTTGGCCGACCGGCTCCCTACCCTACGAGGGTAACACAGCTTAACCAGCAGACATGGTCCTAGGAGGCAGACTGTTGCATGGCTGTGGTAACACATTATTTCAACTTGTATTTGTGGACTGTTAAATTTTATTTGCTTTTTATGTCACCAGCAGAATGTAACCACTTTTGCATTTAATCACTTAGTATATGTGATTAACTTAATATAAGTGATTAATATAAGATTAATAGAAGTGATATGTGGGAATTCCCATAACCACTTAATGTAAGTGGTTATATACTGCAGGTAACAAATACTAATTAATTGACTGTACATGTACTGTGCAAATATGGTACACACACAAATACAGCATCAAGACACATCAAGAATCTTGAACGCTTTCTGTTCCCTACAGCTAGTAGCTGTAGCCATCTCAAGCTAGTAGCTGTTGAGTGTAGAATATTGCCCCAGGTGATCCCAAGGAATTACCTCAGGTCAAGTCACTGCTGAGGTGACTCGGGGAAAAGACGACATAGTCATGATGAAACCAAGCCCACATGACCTCTGACAACCCATCGGAAAGCTACAAGACAGTATACCCATGCTGTTGAACAGTTTCTTGATTAGTGGAAGTAGTAGACAAGGCCCTGATAGTTGGATGTGGCGTTCGCCACTGCCCAAGTCATTCCCTGTCAGGACTCCTGTTCAACTCAAACGTGTTGTGTAGAACTATCCAGTCAAAATAGCTATACAGTACTAACATCGTCTAAGTCCTCTGGTAATGTCGAGTTAACTCAACTTCTTGTAAAGTAAATCTGCAAGTAGCCAAGAATCTTGCGGTACGATATATTTTAGGCAATTCGTAGTGAATCTACGATACAGAAGAATTCCCGATAAGGGAAACCAAAGTGAGTTTTGGTTGATCATGATGATCAACATGATCATCCAAGTGATCATTAGAGGAACTGACCAGTTAAGGTAATAAGATTGCAGTAGAGTTTATGCAAAGTGCAAGCAGTTTAGACTGAAATATGTCAGGCTTAAATTCATCTGTGAAATATAGATAAATTCTGTGACTGTCATTCATACATGTTGTGAGTCACCCATATGTGAACCCGTATGATGAACCATGCGTCTTAAAGTAGTAGACGCATAGTTGAAGACTCAGACCCTATATAAAGTCTGAGTCGTGATTCCGCTTTCCTGCTGACCATGTGTCATCGCATTCCTGAAGCAAATTCCCTCACGGCATCTCTGCATTGACTGGCCTCACGCCCGTCACCAGCCACCACCTGTGATATTCTTGCATGGTACAACCCACAGTCAAGTAAGTTGACAAGATCAATATACCAGCCCAGTATACAGGCCGCCTCAAGGAGTTGTCATGCTAAGTTAACCGAGTGTAAAAGGATGTGAAGGCCTGTAATTAATATAAGTATTCTAATTATGATTATCATTTCTGCTTGCATCATCTGGAACAGATGGAGATAGTGTTATGTACTGATGGTACATAACAGTTATATACTGATCTGGCAGAACTCTGCATGATACCATGTCATTCTACTGAGTAAGGTGATGTGCATGTTGAAACACACACCACACATTTCAGCTTGCATGTGCATGTCATAATTGATATATTTTGTGCATGTCATCAAGTGTTCCCAAGTCAATCTGTCCTCTTACAAATTACAGTAGTCTGAATTTGGCTGTTTGCCCGTATGGCCAAAAATAGATGTAAATTGAAAATTAAAATAAAAATAAAATAAATTTGGGCTTTTTTTTTCCCAAAGCAACAATTTAGGGTCCTCTGGTAGGTTAGGAGGGCAGAAAATTCTTCTAAAAGTTTCAAAACATCATGAAAAACGTTAATTGAAAGTTTCCTCTCCTAACCTTTCTGAGTAAGCCAGAGGACTCAAACAGAAAACTGGACAGTACATCACTTTCATGAGCTGATTTCACTTCAAATTACTGTACATCCATTTTTGGCCATAGCACACATACGAGCAAAAAGCAATGTTATTATTAAGAGAATGGGTTGCCCAAGTAGCCTAAGGAACTCGCATAAATTTCCTTGTGACCGACAGTCTTAGGATAAGCCGAGTCTTGTGATTATAGTTGTCAACAAGAGTGTCGATGCGTATCACCACATGATTGGTCAGCGAAACACGCAAAAGACTCTACGGCAATATTAGATTTGCATGACACCAATCAGCAAAGTAAAGTTTCTCTCAGTGAATTAGCAATCAAGTTCTTTAAATAAACATACTGTATACAGTATATTTGTAAGTTTGGTGTTTAGATTCTTCCTTTCCTGAACATTGCCATGGTACACTATTTTAAATACTGTCATAAGTGACCTGCTATAAGCTCCATAATGTCTAGGCCCTACTCAATATAAATAATTGATGTAGAGGACCCTGGGAAGGATCCCTATATTGCATTCCTTAGCTTTTGGGGACTTCCATGACCAACAGGATTCGAGATTTAGGTGAAGCTCACTGATAAAGATCTCCCAACAACTGGATCCCTTATTCAACAAAGTGCACCCTGGCCTTGGATACTTTGCTCACATCTTGCTGAATCTGTGCTTGCATTACTGAAGCCCTCTATCATTGCAAAGTTGCATGTACCAGAAATTGCAACCCAGACGAAGCAAAATCGATATGATCAGACAAATACTTTGCAGCCTGCCTCTAACTTAACAAAGGTTCTTTAAATCAAGTTTGGTGTTTAGATTCTTCCTTTCCTGAACATATCCCCACTATCTCTATTGTATTCCTTGTTAATATACAAAAATACCTGTAATTATTCTTCCTTTTTCATCTAATTATTTCTGCATACCAGAGTATATTTAAAATACAAGATTTTATCCCACAATATATGTTGAGTATATTTCACATAGAGCACAGTATACTTTACCTTTAGTGAGAAGATACATGTCTTTAACTGTTTGTGTGGCGAGTGACCTGAGGGGCTGGCCACTAAGGCCCCCCACTTCCTCTCTCTCTTGGCTCTGAAGCCACACTGGTCTGGTTACTGTTGTGTTACTCACTATCATCCCATCTATCCGCTTCTGTAAGGCAGTTTACTGCACTAACATAAAGATGCAAGACAAAATAAATCAAGATTTAAGTATTAATGGAAAAAACTTTTATGAGCAATATAACCAGTTTCTCCCTAAAGCAAAAGCTTACCAATACCTGGCTAAGATCTATAGTCCTGGGAAAATTTAAAATTCAGCACTGTGCAGTTTGGAACTTTATAAACTGTCCCGACTAGGCCATACTGGTGCCAGGGAGACAAAAATACTCAACCCAACCCAGAATGTAGTTAGAAAGTGCATTTAAATTTAAATGAAACTCGAAGCTTTTTTAGACAATTTGGCATCAAAGATTCTGTCAAGTAGCACCCAAGCAAAATGTCACACTGACTGGCCTACCATCAAGAACTGCCACCATAACAAAGCTCCCCAACTCAACCTCTCCACATTCTACCTCAACCCGATTAAGAAAAATCCATCACAAAGCACAGGGTAGAAAGGGAAAGGAAAATGAGAATGGTAACAAAATATTATACCGATTAAGAGTGTTTTTCATATACAGTATAGAGCACAGTACTCTACTCAAAAAGACTGATTTCTGAGCCATTCCATTTGGTTATTCTCTAAGACAAGTGTCAGTGGAAGTCACAATATCTAAAGTAAAAGCAAGGCTTGCCTAGACTGCAGAATGGTTAGGATAGAAGTCTTGTGGAAGAAAGATGTTTTAGTAACAGCTGCCACACCCCTAGCACTTAACCTATATATCAGCGAGTTTATAATTTCATAAGGATGCAAGTAGAATACATCCAAGGAATGTCAAACATGTCAAGAAATCCACCAAAAGGAGGCCTTGTCCAACTCCCACTCTATTCTGAACACATTAAAGTTGGGTAGGCCATTCTCCAGCACACTTAATGTCACCCAAATGTGGAGTGGTGTGAGGATTAAATCCTGAGAAGTCATAAGAGAAACAATGACCAACATTCAAAGCCAAAGTGTGAGAGACCAGGAGGAGCCTTCCTAGAGCCTCTACTTAAAGCAGGAATCACAAATGACAGGACAACCCCGACTCTCGAAAGCAGTGGAAAGAGAAGGAAGGGGGAAAGAATTCAAAAGTGAAACTGTTCAGCTGGCCTTTTAAGAAGTGATCCAATGCAATTGGCCTTCAGGTGATGTGCAGCAAAGAAGTTGAAAAGACCCACTGTTTAACAAATTGGGTTCAGAGTAGATGCAAAGGCCCTATCACATAACAGGACAACTAATCACATTTGCCCTCCACGCTAGGAAACCAAAATTGGGAGGAACCTGAGGAATACCAGAACAATGTTCTCAAGTAGGGACATGATGAACTGAACTCTGGACAAAAAGTTGCACCATACTAAACTGAATTAACCAACGCAGTATCCCTCCACTGCCTAGCTTAGAGAAATGTTCAATCCAGCCTGCAAAACCAGAACTCAACTACACAAACAAAACAAATTCCAAAGATAACACAAGCCACTAAAAGTTTGGTTCTTCTCACCTGCAGATATGATCTACACGTGGGACCAGTCAGGATAGAATGTGAAGTTATTAGATTGGGGGACTGTACTGTGGTGTTAGTGCCACCACCTGGTTAAGATAGGGGTAACGACATACTGTGCCATACAATAGTTAACTGGAGTGATGCTTGGCACTATCTTTGATGTCAAGCTGCACCTGGAAATTCTTGAGTCTTATGTAAATGAATATTGTCTACATTCTCAGTTGAAAATAATATTTTTGTGTTTTCCTGGAACTATTATGACCTGATAGGGACATGTTGACACTATCCCAGCTGCTCTAATGTGGAATATCAATACTAACCAGGTATCAGTAAGATCTTACATCAGGGAGGAACCAAGTAGGATAGCTTGAAAATATGTATTTCTGGATATGATATTACCAGGTACGTCTGAATTATAAGCTCTCTTATTGAACTACACAAGATGTGTAATACTGTACTATTAATTTCCATCAAGATGCATCACATGTACTACATATTTATAATTATTATTCAACAGGCACTCTGGCTAACTACATCCAATAATTCAATATTATGATGCAAATACAGTACAGTACAGTACTGATACTTTAAATATTCTCACAATATGATATTTTCACAAATCACCTTAGATGACATTTTTGCCTTAAAGTGTAGACGATACTGTATATTGCATATTAACATTAAAATTACACATACCCCATTTCTTATGACAACACTGGCTATGTTCTTTTTGTCATCTTCAGAAATATCTGGTGCAATCTTGAGCAGCACTGGAGGTTTATGAGTGCCTGGTAGAGCATCTCGTGTCGTCACTACGGCACTGATCAACTTCTCTAATTCTTCTTTACGCTGCAAATTTCTCAGTCCTGGTGTGTTGGGACTGTAAAATCTAGCTACAGTATTTGCGAGAAAATGCTCAAGTTCCTCAATCACTCAGAAGTGAGGGGTGTAGATCATAAATCATTTTAAAATGATGAAACAAAATCAAAATGCACCTTTTTATACAGTACTGCAGTGTACAGTCATTCACTATAACTTCAGTTTTTTATTTTCAGAGTGGGAAGGCATGAGCCAGGAGAAAATGTGAAATAGTGAAAGACCTTACAGAAATAATAAAAAAAAGGAAACAACAATTTTTGCCTATAGTAGGAAAATGATTCAGGAAGGCCAGTTATGAGGCCAGTTGCCACACACCCCTATAATGCAAGCGATGCAAGACCATAGTGGTGATTGATTAGGGTCACTGCATCCATACCATTGTATACAGTACACGATACAAGGACATGAACATTATCGTCAAGCTCCTCAAAATCAGTCCAGAACTAAAGCACTGAGCACCAAGCTGAAAGCTACAGGACTCAACTCTTCATTGCTATACCAACCTCTCATTCACTAGCTGCTTAAAAAAAAATCCACTCCTTGTAATCTCGAGGATTCTGCCCCTTTGTTTCATTGTTTATGTAGGATACACACAAATGTATGCATTTATGTATGTAGGTTAGATTAGCATTGTAAAAACACTACAGTCACCTTCTGTGGTTGATTGTTCAATAAATCACTGAACTATATGTATAACAGATCTCTAACCATGTCCATGGAGGACAGAAGCAAATGTATATATGCTGATTGGTATTGTAAATGTGTGGCCACATCTGTGGTAGAATATTACAATAATAACAAAAAGTCAGGGCTGGAAGTTGTACATTATTGTCATTCTTAGCTTTCATACTAACATTCCTTCCTTTCATTATATTATTAATCTCTCCTCTCACACAATCTCTTAACACATACTGGAAAAAAATGCTTTTGTCCAAGAGAAGCAAAAAACTAATAAACAAAATATATAATGACTATAATGTGATTACAGATGAATAATGTTTAAACTGAACAAACTAAAGGTGAGGTAAGGTAATTATGAGGATAATTATCACACACATGATCATTTCAAAATCATACATACCTGTACTGTATATGCCTTTTGAATTTTATATTTAATATAGTAATGCACTGCAAAATATAATAAACCAATCAAGTTTTGAAGCTAATTTAAAAGTATAAAAGAATAACCCACAATCTTTAACAAGTTACTGGAAACATTTAAAAATATCAAAATAATCATTTCAGTCTACAATAAACATAAGGACAGTGTTGCAAATCCTCTTATCAACTAATTATACTGAGCAACAAAAATTATATTCTAAGAAGTTTAGACAAAATTTAACCCAATTAAATTTCGATACAACGCGCTCATTACCTGGAAACATTGATCACAAGGTAGTCGGCAATTGGACCAAACTTTTGCACCCCGAGTGTATAATCTTGCACATGATCTGCCGAAGTCTTATTCTTTCCAAGATTTACCCCTAATATTGCTTTCCGATGTCCTGGAGGAGGCAAGTGTGACAAATGTTCAAACACTGCTTCATGACCGTCACTGTTGAAACCATACCTGTGAGTAAATAATAACAAGGTCTCATTGATTCTATAGCTTCCTCTCCGTAAATGACATGCAACTTTTTTATCTTTGATCCTTTTGCCGAGATATGTGGCTACAATTGAATCATGACAAACTCTTTACTTCACAATATGACTTTAGCCAAGTGCACTGAAAATTTAGTTCCGACATCCTGGCCTTCTGAACAGAAGTTTGGGTTTGGTAACTCCAGCCACTTGACAGCAATTTAGAAGAAAATCATCAAATGTGGCAGATTTGACTCCTTCAATTACTGTACAATTAATCCTTGTTTAAGACTTGGCCACCATTATGAGTGCTATATTGGTTAATGGCAAATATTAAAATGAGCATAAATTTAACCATGCACATGAATTATGAGAAGCCACAGACAGGAAAGTACCACCAACAAAGGCTTCATTTTCCTTCCAAAGCATAGCTGAACACCACAACTTAAACAAGTAAGAAAAATACGAACAGGATTAGGCCGTGAACCCCACGGAAACTCCCCCAAAGAGGCAGAAACTCCAACTGCCTCTTCCAGCCCTTTGGACTCGGATACTTGCCAGCTCTTAAGACTAGGTCTTTTCATAGCCTTAATCAGCAGAGGGGGAGGGGGGGCTGTGAGGAAGGACAAGAAGATGATGAAGCGCTGGAAGGTCTACATGCAGAAAGTGTGAAAGAAGGCAAACACTAGTCATAATTGGCCAAAATCAACTCCAGAGCGTCATCAAAATACAGTAGGAGGAAGAAGCCACAGAGGAGAAGCTTCTGTAACAAGCAGTGCACACCCATAAACTAGCAGCTGCTAGTTTGCTGCTGACCGCAAAAGGGCTCATCCATAATATTGGTCCAACAACAAGTGTTGCACACCCGAGGTTGAAGAACACCCTGGACACAACAGCGTAAGTGTCACAGAACACTGTGACGCTGTAAAGCAACAATATTCAGTCTAGGTGCTGGCAGGGAAGCCATCATGACTCAGGCAGCAGTGGAAATAAGACAAATAATCCTACCTGATGCTCAGAAAATGCACATTCCCCACTGCCCTTACCCTCTTGAGTGCTGTTCAGTTAGGCAGTGTAAGGGTGTGTGGGGGTGATTTGCTAAGACCTCTGGTGGCTTGATGCATGAGGGACAAACAAGTGGTTCAACTTGAGTAATAATTGCTACCGTAATTCAGGGGTCAGCATTGTAAAAATTATCATGCTGTCAGTTTTGGTGTACTCTACCTTTCTGGTGGCTTTCTCATGGGTATTGTGGTTGATCCTAGATGACCATACTACTCTGCCTCTAACGAGGGAGCCAGATTCTGGTCATGGTCTGTGGGAGGCACATGTGAATCAGTAGAACGTGGTGGAGTTCTTAAGTGCACATGTCAGTGAGCCAAGTGGCTTGCTAGCAGAGATACCCAGGGGGTTCCTTCTAAAAATGTGATTATTATTGATTGTACAGTAATTATAATCAAATGCCATGTCTTGGGAACACTTATGGCCTGATAATGAGTTACTTGGTCCATATTTTATATTAGAACATGTAAATTCTAAATTATATTTTATTTTAATTGTTTTTTTAATGGTGCTACTGGAAAGAATAGGTTACAGGTATTACTACACTGTGAACAAAATTATTAATATAAAATTAAATTTTTTGGTTCCATGTACAGTAGATCCAAGAAAGGTATGGGGCAAAAATGAGTAGTACAGTAAAAGGATTAAAGATATCCATGTATGCTTGCTTGCATGCACGTGTGTGAGTGTGTGTGTATGAAAAACTAGTATTACTGTTTTGTATAGAAACTAAACTTGTAAACAATATAATGATCCATAATTTCTTATCAGTAGAGAACAAAGTACTTACAAAGATGTAGAGAAATGCCAATAGAAAACTCTATTTGGTTTTATCAGGGTTGATAAAATTACTACAGGCAAATCATCTTCAGTAGTCTAACTCACATTCTGGTGTTTCTCTACATCAATAAATCAATTTTATTGATTTATTGATGTACAGAGACTTCTCTCTACATCTTTTTCTCTACTTTTCTCTATTGATGTAGAGAAAACAATTTCTCTACATCAATAAGCTTTTACCTTTTAATCATATAGAGTAATGCAATACTGTATATAATAACCTGTTAATGACACCCTGGTCCTTTGTGAGGCGAAAGACCCGAGGCTTGGGGTTGCCCGGCTGAGGCAGTGGGGTCACAGAGCCTACTTCCACAAAACTGAAACCCATTTTAAACAGGCCCTCAACAGCTTCCCCATTCTTGTCAAATCCTGCAGCCAGGCCAATGGGAGTCTTGAAGTGTAGACCTAACACTCTTGTCTCCTTAAACATACAAACATACAAAATATAGTGACCTATGATAAGCATAGTGCTGTACTTTATCACCACCTGCTTATCTAATTTCAGGTACTGTACCAGTAGACTGGTCAGTAGAACGACGCCCTGGCTTCTTGCTGGGTTGACGTTCAATCCCTGATAATCTAAGTGGTTGGGCACCATCCCTTCATCCCTACCCATATCCCAGTTCCTTGTCCCCATATTCCTTCCAAGCATAGTTGGTAAAAAAAAACAATCCACTCCAACCCAGGGAAAAGGGGGGAGGGGGTTGAGTTTTTATCTATCTAACCAACAGATAAAAAAAAATGCAACTTTAAATTTAAATAAAAACACAATAACTACAACCCACCCGGGTTTTTTAAACTAAAAAACCTGGCCTAGCTAGGTAAGAGGATAGGTACCATGACAATCTTGCTTCCCAGGGCAATACTGTAGTGTCACACTGAGTGCTTTCTCATCATTATTTCCTCTCCTTTGTCCATTTGCAGAACTACAGTATTTGCACAATGACATCACAAGATCATGATATATTTATGTTCTCACTATGTTGAGAATCAATCCCACCACATGGCCTATATTTTTCCCATTACAATGTTTTCTTCCAATCATCAGAATATGAAATATTATAAGCATAAATAAGAATTGAAGACTAACATTTTCATCCGGCGGCGACACAGTCTGCGTCAATAAATAAATTGACAGATGTTCGCTGGTGACACGACCAAAGAGCCAAAGCTCAACCCCCGCAAGCACAATTAGGCGAGTACATGTTGCGTCAAAATTTAAAATATTTGTTAAAATTATATTTTTTATCCGATCATTATGGGACTAGTTTTAATAGAGCGCCTTTAGATAGCGAACAATTTGATACCAAAATGAACGATGTACCACGACAATTGTGGTCAGAACACTGGAAAGATTATAAATACTTGTGGTGATGAGCGTCCAAAATTAAAATATTTGTTAAAATTCCATTTACTGTTCAATTATTATGGTACTAGTTTTAAAATGTGTGCCTTGAGATTGCAAACGATTTGATACCAAAATGAACGACGTAACTCGAAAATTTATGGCAGAACACTGGAAAAGTACATATGTTAGTGTGGGTGGCCGCTCCAAGGAAACCCCAGGTTGAGGCATGCGAAAGTGTTAAATACAGACTGTAGTAAAAAGTTTTATAGGCAAAATTTCTTCTGAAGGAAGAGTGAACATTTCCACATGATTATAATTTAAGTTGCAACAATTCAGGTCATATCAACTAAATTTATAATTTATAAGATTTCATAGTAAGATGAAAATATTATTCCAAGAAAATACAACATAGAACCTGCAAATTACAGAGCCCACATTGTTAAAATTTTATACTGATCCTAGAGACCAAGAATTTGTTCACCTTACCAACCTCAGATTTCTTTACCAACAATTTAGGCTTATGTTTTTTTTAATATTTTATTTAACCTAAGATACTGTACTCAGATAAACAAACAAGCATGCATACAAAGACATGAAAATGATCATGCTCTCAAAAACCCCAGTACAATTCAAATGGGTAAAGAACTTTATTGAAGGAAAGACTACACCTTCAGATGAACATTGCATCACTAGGAAAAACCTCAAAAATAATCAAGATCATTCCAGAACTACAACATTTTAAATGCCAGACAAGACTAAATGTTGTAAAAATAACTTTTCATGCAAGACATGCCCTAGAGAATATCTTGACAAAATTTTAAAGTCACTAAAATGGAGAAAGAGCTTAAACCACATTCACTTTTTCATGCTGTCTATTGCTAGCTATAGTAAGCAACTTCCTCTTGCAAAACTGACAATAGGAGTACTTCTTCCAGAGATTAATGATCTTGCAGAACAACATACTGTACCACCCAAAGTTATTAAAGCAAGATCAGTACTCGACTTTGTTACAAACTGAAAAGGATACAGGCGTTCCCCACCTGCAAACGCGCACGCTCTTGTTCACTCTCTCTCTTTCTCTCTAAACCACCTAAATCATCATGTGGCTTGTTTCCCCCTGTGACAACATGATCAATGACATCACCCACCAATGGTAGGGTTGGATAAAGTTGACGTCATTTGAACTGGGTCATGGCTGGGACAGTTTGTGCCTCTCTGACCTAGGAGTAGGCTAGCCAGAGCAGGACATTCCCCACTGTAGAGTACTTTAGAATTAGAGCTGTAGGTTAAGGTGTAAGCTCATGTATTTTCTACTTGCAGCACAATTTTTCTGCAACCTTACAGTTTTCTTACGTCCAGTAGTAGGCAGCTGGTTTACTGTTAAACATATATATATATGCTGTACTGTATTGTCTTATGTAATTACTCTTGCAAGTGCACTTTAGTTATTTACCTTTCTGTTTAGTTTGAGTTCTAAGTCTCATGACAAATTCCAGAGTTTTCAGGACAAATTTCTGCATGGTGTTTCCTCCACGGAGCCTTTGATACTTTCAAGGCAAAGTAACCGTAAGGACTGAGAACAGGCAGAGGTTATCTTGAGGTTATCTTGAGATGATTTCGGGGCTTTTTTAGTGTCCCCGCGGCCCGGTCCTCGACCAGGCCTCCACCCCCAGGAAGCAGCCCGTGACAGCTGACTAACTCCCAGGTACCTATTTACTGCTAGGTAACAGAGGCATTCAGGGGTGAAAGAAACTTTGCCCATTTGTTTCTGCCTCGTGCGGGAATCGAACCCGCGCCACAGAATTACGAGTCCTGCGCGCTATCCACCAGGCTACGAGGCCCGGGTAACAACTTAATATTCTCAACTACTCCATTTCTGTAAATGTTCAGTGTTAACATGGCTACTCCATTTCTGTAAATGTTCAGTGTTAAAGATACTGTACTTAATGTAAAAGGTAATTAATGTAAAATACCCAAAATTAGGAGGTATGTTTATAATACAGATTTCCTTAAGAATCAAATACTGTACCTGTATGGTAAATACAGTTCAATACTTGTTTAACCAAAATGAAACCAGGTACCAGTATAGAATCCACATCAGATTTATCACATTCTTTCAACAGGTCAGATACAAATTCTCCAATTGATGATTCTATAAACAAACTCAAATACTGTAATGAGGATATTACAAATATATAAATTACTAACCAGCAGCTTAGATTCCTTGAGCTTCACCTCACGGACCAAGTTGTATTTGGCTGCCTTCACTGCCAAGTTGTGAGCAGTCTCAGGGTCTAGCTTGTGTAGAAGAGGAATGACCCATGAGTCATAGAACTTCTCATTTTGAAAGTACATACTGATGCCGCCAAAGGTAAGCGCCCCACCGATGCCAACTCTGATGATGTCACGTATTTTTTTCTGTAGAAGAATGCTAGCATTAGTATTACTGTACCAGTGTAAGAAATAGTTATACTGTAATTTATTAAATATTGTACTGATTGTTAGAGGCCAGATATTTTCCCCACAGTTTGGACAGTTCCAGGTTGTAGCATCAGGACCTACCGAGAAAGCCATACCAGAAAATTTTATGTCTGGTACCGGAGATCTCCCAAGTCCCCACACATGCTATGCAGGTGGTTCATAATTTAGTTGATGTATAATATTATTCTGAAAGATACTTTCAACTTTGTGTTAAAAACTATTAGACAAAGAACATTTGTAATGAAAGAGAGGCTCTGGTAGTGGATTACAACATGAATGGAACTTGATTTACCAGAATGCTTAAGACCCCCTGTAATTTAATGTAACAAGCCAGTTTCTATAATTTTACATGTAATGACAGCAGTTTCCAACCTTGATTTTGAATCGATTCGGGCTGTATTTTGGCCAAAACATCTTTACACATTTACGAACTAAACCATAATGGAATTTGTATACAGTATTTTAAGTTGACATGGCAAAATATTGAAACATGACAAAATGTTGTAAATTCTTCCTGGAATTCACTTCCACCAGTTCACCAGTACCAGCTATTGATGTACAAGAGGAACAATTAATTTTACTGAAGCATATACAGTATACAGAAACTCACAAAACTTGTAAATTTTAGGTGATTATTAATAATGTATTTATTAATATGCTAGTCATTTATAGTATTCTTCGAATGCAATAATTTTACATTACGAATATAAAAAGAAAAAGAAACTGTACATATATATATATATTACAAAATTCACATGCCTGTTGAAAAATTTGTGCAATGTTGTACAGTATTACCAAACTTGAACATTTCATTTACGTGTAGAATAGAGAGATTTCTTACAAGGAAAATATTTAATGCTATCAAGAATGCTAGAGGCAGGAGGGGAAATTGACTGTACGCAACTGTGTTAGGGAGTATGAATGCAGCCCACTCTCCTGTTTACGTAGTACTTATAGTAACGATGAGGACCATCATACATATATTGACATAAAGGGCAATTAGAAGCTAGAAATTGTAACTACTGAATTTGGACAAACCAGAAAGATATTGTATTTATGTTGCAAAGAAAACCTAAACTAACCTTCCTAGGCCTAGTCATGCTAACTTATATAGTTAGTACTATATAACTTATATAGTACTGTACATACAGTGGCACCTCGACTTGCGACTGCCCCTACTTACGAATTTTTCGAGTTATGACAAATTTCGTCAGAAGATGGACTTGACTTACAACCTTTGCCTCAACTAGCGACTTTGTTGATATGCATATGGGTCAACCAATCGCATGGTTCCTGGTGGCACGGCGACCTCGCTCGGTTTACCAGAGCCGCCCGCTTAAGAGACGATCGTGCGTGTAAAGAATTTCATTATTTTTGTGATGACTTTGCTAGCTGTCATCTGCAACTATTAAATACTATGTATATTTTTAATTACCTGTGAGATTTTGAGTTCTGAAAGAGTATTTAACAAAAATACTGAATGATATGGTTCATAAGATACACCTAATTTACAATACACTTTGTGAATTTTTCTTCATTATATATTTATTGATAGTAATTTTCAAATGATTTTTGTAGGGGGGGTAAACATATAATTTTGTGCATGTAAATATAAGCTATTATTATTATTATTATTATTTTTTATACAGTATATACAAGAGTTCTTACATTCTTGTACAGCCACTAGCCCGCATAGCATTTCGGGCAGATCCTTAACCCCTAATTTTCACACACATCCCCAGGAAGCAGCCCATAGCAGCTGTCTAACACCCAGGTACCTATTTACTGCTTGGTGAACAGGCACATCAGGGTAAAAGAAACTCTGCCCATTTGTTTCCACCGGGGATTGCACCTGGACCCTTAGGACTACGAACACCCATGCGCTGTCCACTCAGCCATCAGGCCCCTCCTTTATTCATTCATTCATTTGTTGGTGGACCAAAACCCATGCAACCTATCCACTGACAAGTACAGTATGTTATACAATGGGTTAATCCTTCAACACCTCTAGTTTTGGGTAAATGCTCACCTTGAATGTCTTACTGACCACGAGTCTCCTCACAAACGCACTCATTCTTCCTCCTCCCACGGCAGGCAAACTCACACCACTCACAGCAATTTTAACAATGGTCAACTGTTGGTCATAATTTGATAAGGTTTGACTGTCAGTTTAGCAAGAATCAACTGTTGGTAAATGGTTAACACGGATTAACTTATGGTTACAGCTTAATGAGGATGATCTGTTGTGAGCGTGATGAGGATCAGCTGTTGAGAGTGTGATGAGGGTCAGCTGTTGAGAGCGTGTCGAGGATCAGCTGTTATGAGCGTGTCGAGGATCAGCTGTTGAGAGCGTGTCGAGGATCAGCTGTTATGAGCGTGTCGAGGGTTAGCTGTTGAGAGGGTGATGAGGATCAGCTGTTGTGAGCGTGTCGAGGATCAGCTGTTGTATTTTAATCACTGAACTTCCATTCAGGGTCCCTGCCGCCGGCACCATCTCCCTATACGTTCCCTGGGAAGCCTATAATACATACTCTTCCCTTTATGCTCATCACATTAAAATACATAAAGTATCATTGTACATGATAAGGTAAGGAACTATAAGCCTTAACCATGTTTCATATTATTTTAACCTTATATTTTGGTTTGCATAGTGATCCCTAATATAAGATTTTTTTAACTGCAAATAATAAAAATACTAATCTTAAGAATGGTTAATTCCTTTCAAACTAAGCTTCATATGTTTAGTAGAAAGTGAGACTTTCTTATGCTTGAAATCACAGCCAAAAAGATTTATAAAAGATAGGCAACTTCAGGTGAATAACCCAAGCTTAATATAATTTGTGTAACTTAGGTCTATGTGCACTGTTAGTACCCACATTGTCTAAGTTTAACCTAATCTTGATATACGTTGATAATATGCGTAGTATGGGTGGATAACGATTGCAAAATATACAGTTTTTAGTTATAATTTTGAAACAAAAATAACTAGTGTACGAAAGGCGTCGTGTATGAAGAGGTTGAGGCAGCGTGCACTTGTACTTCACCCCAGAGAGTTTTACCTGAATTTACCTGAGGACCACTAACACTAGTGGTCTCGAGAGGTGTGTGTTGTAGCCGTAGTACTTGTAGTACACCCTAGTGAGGTAAGGTGTAGTCATAGTACTTGTACACCCTAGTGAGGTATGGTGCCATAGTACTTTATGCCCGAAACGCTTTGCGTAATAGTGGCTTTAGGCATTGTATGTACTAGCTATACCTATAAGTTAAACAATCCTTGTAAATATTTATTGTATGTATGTACCTTACCTAAATAAAATTGTATTGTATTGTATTGTACTTGTAGTACACCCTAGTGAGGTAAGGTGTAGTCATAGTACTTGTACACCCTAGTGAGGTATGGTGCCATAGTACTTGTAGTGAGGTAAGGTGTAGTCATAGTACTTGTAGTACACCCTAGAGAGGTGTGTTGTAGCCATAGTACTTGTAGTACACCCTAGTAAGGTGTGTTGTAGCCATAGTACTTTTAGTACACCCTAGAGAGGTGTGTTGTAGCCATAGTACTTGTAGTACATCCCTAGGCAACAATGTGTCTTGGATAAGTCGCTCCACAACATTGTCGCTTAGACCGTCGACTTGCTTTGGTGTTTTTGCCATAGCGTAACTAACTTTTGCCACTAACGTAATGCCAGGAAACTTCGGGTGTCTTGAGTGGCTATGGGTAGTTTTGGGTAATTAGTTTGACCCACTCATCATAAACAACATATTTCCAAGCATTCTGGTCTATTAACCTATACTGTACATTTCTTCCTTTACACATGCAGTATGATACCAGACGTACACACAAATACATTTATGACTAAGTACATAGACAAGTTGCAATAGACATTCAGACAATTCAAAAAGTTACACTCTTGGTGTAAAAATAATTATATCTCTAAAATGTCATCAATCTTTCCGTTGTGACACATCCAGATAATTTGCTCAAGAACGGTCCTTGTCTCGGTACAGTATCTTTATATACTGTACATTATCGAGACCACAATGGGCGAGGATGTGAGACCTTAACCTACCACATAGTTTACATGTTTACACTTCGTTTCATTACCGTCAACAGATGTTCCATGCAGAGATGTGTATGATGCACATCAACAGGTCACTTCGCCTACTCCAACCACAGTAATTTGTTTAGATATAAGTTACTGCACCCAAGACAGTACATGTACTGAAGTATTCAAAATGATTCCCGAGAGGCAGATACAAGTTACTTTACTTTACTGTATTTATTTTTTAATTTTCTTTTATATACAGAAACGTATAATGGGTTGTGAAAGAACATAACATTGGTGTTCTTACATTCTTGTTCACTAACATGCATAGCATTTCAGGCTTTATACATAAGATGACTCCCAGTGGATGACTTAACCCAATTTAACCTTCCCCAACCCAGTCCAACCAAACTCGACCTATCCTGACCCAGTGTTACCTAACACAACCTAAAATAATCTCGCACAGTCTAACTTAACAATGAAATAAAAAATAGAAACAGAAACATGTTCAAAATGCCTGTTCAACAATAGCCATAGACTTGCAAAATAATCAATGCTGTAAATAACTTATTATAAAAAAATGCTGTTATCAGAGTATAAAGTCTTTCAGTATAAAATAAATCATATGTATGTTCCACTCTGTTTTGGTAAAGATATAATCATACTGGAAGATGCTTAGGGCTTTCTGTGGACTATTTTCAGATTTCCTGATTAATGAATACAGGGTTCATCGTACAGTGCCGATTTTGTCAATTTATACTGCAGGCATAAAATACAGGTACATTTCAGTACCCCACAAGTCTATACAAGTATTTATATTCTCCAATTACTCCCGAGAAAGCACTGCATATTTTCCAGTATGCAGTGCTTTCTAAAATGGTGTGGTAAATAGCTATGCCTGAAACATTATGGTTAGAAAACTCAGTATGTTTCAATCAAATGTGTGATGCTGAATTGTGTTAAATAAGGTTAAGTGTGTACTATTTAAAAGTTTGTTTATTTTAAAAATTATTAATAATATTGTAAAGTAGTGAGGTTAGTTTTGTTTAAATTAATAAACTGATGCGGGTGTTCTGTGATGCAGCCAGTGACACAGGTGTGCACCTCTCCTCTCATAAGCTTCATCACTCCCGATAAAGATGGGAAGAAAGATTCCAGCTAAGAAACACAGAGGAGTGAAGGATCCCTACAAGCAACAGGAACAACGTCTTAACAAGTAAGCTGTTTTCATACCATTATTGCAAATTATTTATTTGCATTTTATGCCACAGTTTTGTGCTTAAATTGATTTTCCTAATGAGTGTACTATACTTTAATAACTTAATAATTCTATGTGAACTATGTACATAATAATTTCTTTAAACATTAGTGATTGCATTTAGTTGATGCAAATATTTTTTTGTTTTACACAGAATAATTTTAATTGTTTACTTAGGATAAAGGACAAGCTAAACTGCAAACCTTCATCTATTGATGCTCAGGAAATACCAAGAAAGCTGGAAAATATAGCCAAGTTTATGAATTCTGACAATAAGGGAGAGATTATGGTAAAGAGAAAGAGAAAGAGAAGACATAGCGAACTTCTTGATGGAACCAAGTAAGTTATTTTCAATTGTGAATCTGTATTTCTAAAATGGCCATAAAACACAGCTTTATGATATCCAGGTATCTTGGAGAATAACTATTGTCCCTTGCTATGAACAACCATTGTATCCCACTTATTTGTAAACTGTCACTGACAAAGGGTACGGATATGGAAATTTAGTGAACCCTTTTTTTTTTTTTTTTTTTTTTTTTGTGATGTCCAGTCTTTATTTATCCTATTTAATTTTAGTTCTCATCAATTTTGGTGCACTGACTCCTCTTGAAGCTTATTGGAAATTGATATTTTGTTCTGGCTTTTGCTATTTTGTGTCCTACCTATTACTACTGGTAGTCAAGACAACCTTCGTTATATCTTATGTGTCCTTTTATTCTACCTATATCTACAGTGCTACCTCCGTTTTCAAATTTAATCAGTTCCCAGAAACGGTTCAACAACCGAAAATTTGAAAACCCAAAACAAAGTTTCCCATAAGAAGTAATGTAAATTGAATTAATCCATTCCACACTCCCAAAAATATTAACTTAAAAATACATTTTATACATACTACTACAGTACTCATATTTTGTACTACAGTATATATGTACAAGCATATCTTGCATTTATTGAGGAGGACTCTTGTTGGCGTATGAAAGACGGTGAGGAAGGGGGGGAAGAGGAGAGGTGTTAATGTTTGGAAGGGAAGTTCCCCTTCCATTATAACATCAGGCAGTGATGACATTTCTGGGGTATTCTCTCTCTTATGTTTTGCAGGCATATCACTAGGACCTGGTTGTGGCTCACTGCTTGTTTGTCTCGCTGAAAACCTGTCTATTGACACTTGTTTTTCCCTACGTTTTAACACTTGTCTGAAGTGGGACATCACATTGTCATTAAAAAGATTACCACAGCCTTATCTGTTTTAAACCTGTTACAGCTTTATCTTGGGTGAGTTTTTTCAGCAAAACTTTACTGTTCTTCCCATACTGCACACATTTTCTTAATGAGGAAGGGACATCTTCTACTGCCTCTACCCACAACTATTTTCTTAGGTTGGTTAATTGGTTAATGAACCAATCAATAGTTAGAGACCTCATTGGCATTCACCTGTAATGCCAAGAAAGGGTTGAGAATAACTTTTGAGTTGATAGGAATTTACGTATTTTGGTCATTCTGGACTGGACTGAGTAATCTCCAGTGATTCTTATAATAACCCTTCCAGGAATGACTTTATTATTAATAATAATAATAATGAACAATGAAATTATATTCTTATTTTCTTGTGTAGAGAATATCACAATTATGGGGCTGAAAATAAATAAATAAATCTAACCCCCACACACGTGAAATTTATTCCATAAACAAACAACCTTGTTGCTAAAGCTGCATCTACCTAAGACATTCTGAAATCAAAACTGATTCATTGTTTGTTCAGTTTTGTGTTGATGTATTTAAGACCTTATTTATATTCCGTTTGTTAACCTTTCCATCCATTTATATACTTCAATCATGTCACCGCTTATTTTCCGTCTTTCAAACAATGTAAATTACCATTGAGTTTTTCTTAATCTTTTCATAAGAGAGATTTCTGATTCCTGGGATTAACTTAGTCATTCTTCTACATATTAATTAAAAAGAATTTGTCCATTTTATAGTACAGAGACCAAAATTGAATTGCATAGTAAATAGAGACTAATAAGGGCAGGATTAAGCTTAAGAATAATACTGATGTCATATTGCTATCACTTTTAGAAATAAATCCTAGTATCATGTTTGTTTTAATCCGTACATATTTGCATAGATTTTTTGGCTTAGGATCCCTACTGAGTATGAATCGAAGATCATTATTGCATTTGGATTTCAAAATTTAACATTGTCAAGATAATATCTAGTAACTCTTTATTTCCTAAACTCAGAACCCTTAATTGTTAGTGATGAACTGCATCTATTGATTTTTTTATCAATTTAAAAAACCTATCTAGATTGCCTTTTCAAGAGTTTGAGTCCTTATTTGAATCCATTTCCTGCTCTATTTTTGTATCTTCTGCAAATTTGCAGATGTTGCTGTTCCATTCTGTGTGTAAATCATTTATATATTATGTGGTAGAGAACAGAGGTCCCATGAAAGTTCTGGGGCACTCCACTTGCAGTTTTGTCCTACTCATGACTCGGCTTTCTTTTAAATAATCAAATAGTTCAAAAAATGTACAATGGATCTACACTTGGTACATGAAAAATAGCTGACAAAGCAGCCACATGGCGCTAATAGCTATGCAGATATATGTGTAATGCACTTCACAGCCACACAGCAATGATGTAAAAGTAGCACTGTATGCATATGGTAGATGTGGGAGCTTATTCATATAGCAGATCCAAATGCAAACTGGGGACTAGGGATGCTGTTCATAAGATTGGATGTTTGTAAATCTAATGTTTGTAAGCTGAGGACCCCTTGTAGTATATTCACGTAATGTGTTTTCTATTAGCCCTGTAATATTCAGCTCTTTTCATCTCATCTTGATTTACATTTTGCTTTGCATTTGTGTACAATTGTCTGAAGTCTCATCTATGTACTGGTGTGTGCATAAATGCTTGAATGTGGGGGGTCATTAATATTATTTCTTTAGAGTATGCTTGACGTCTTAATTCTGTAATGTTATGCTTCAACTTGTTTAACCATTAATTAATACTCTGAATTGTTTTTCACGTATTATTCTTAGATTTGTTGACCAAGAGATGGACGAGCCAGGCATGACCAGACCTCTCAAGATGATTCCCGCACTCAAACAGCATCAAAATGAAAGTGTAAAGAAGTTCATGAAGAGGGTTGACAGGGCAACAAAGGTTGGTTAAGATAAGAAGTATCATACTTTACTGTCTACTTTGATACAGGTATATTAAATTTGTGCTTATAAATCAATGTTTGATGTAGAGTCTGCATTGGGGTTTCTTCTCATCTGTATAGTACAGTACAGTACCACAGTTGGAATAAATGCATTCAAAGAGATGATGGTTTGGTTTGAACATAAATTAAGATGTAGCCTTTGTGGTGTTAAAACAAAAACAAAAATAGGTAGTGTGTGAAAATGTCGTAGAGAGAATTAGAGTGCAAAAACATCAAAAAGCTACCAGATTGAGGAGAGCCTACTGAGATGATTTGGGCATGTTGAACACATGGATGATTACAGATTGCTAATGAAAATGTATTTAATTTGTCGATTCCTGTCACTATTGTGTGTGTTGTGATCATATTGCCTCTTTTTCTTCTATCTTCTTGTTAAGGCACATTTAATACCTCTAGCCTCTCCTTATAGCTCTTTTTAGTTCTGGAAGCCATTTAGTAGTAGTATTTTTACAACCTCTTTCATTTATTGATGTACTTCTTGAGATGTGTGCATCACAAAACTGTAGCGCATTCTAATCTCGGTCTCATTAATGTCATAAACAGTTTCTATAGTATTCTAGGTATTGTACTCTATGGGAAAACCTCATTTTCCATGAACATACTTTGGAATTGATTGTTTAGTACAGTATTTCACATATTTCCTTTTCAGCCGTTAGGAATCTGTCTCCCATTTTTAGTCTTTGGATTTTGTTTCTTACATCTAATTCCAATTTGCTTTTCATGAATTTATACAAGAGGGGATATTAAAAGAGGCAATCTTTGAAAACAAGTTCCAGATGGATATAATGCTTTGCAAACAAGGCAATGTTTTGTTTGTTTCACAGATTGGTGACTAAACCCTGGCTATCCAAGTGTGTTTTGTTAGATTTTTCAAAAGGATGAATTTAATTTATCAACTCCTTTCCCACTGTGGTGTGTGTGCTGACAAACTTGTGTACACCTAATTATCTGCCTGGTTTCTATCATCTTGTCTTTTTCTCTGCAAAAATTAATGTGTGTGTTGGAGTTTTAATTTAAGAATATGAGGCGAGATATAGAACCAGATAGACAGGGTTAGGTTGCCATTCTTGGCCTGTCTTCTGTTGCTGGCCACTGGAACCCGTTCCTCTCCCCCTCCCCTCCCTAATTTAATTTATAGTATTAGTATGGAAAATATTGACAATTTTGAACAAAATGTTTTGCATCATTGTTTTTTAGTGTTTGCCAAAATAGTTAAATCTGGAGTACAGTATTCAAAACATTAAGTGCTTATTCATGGGCTAATGTGGTTAAATATGTGAAAGTAATACAAATGTTAATATTAAAAAGAGGCAGCCTCTTTTTAATAAACCTCTCCCTTTTGTTTCTGCTTTAGGTGATATTAAAAGAGGCAGCCTTTGAAGACAAGTACAAGGTGGATGTAATGCGTGATGAACAAGGCAATGTTACTCAGGTGAAACAAAGAGAGAAGAATGAGCACTTGCTATCGGAAAAACAACAACTACAAAATGAAGAGCGAGAAAAGAGAAAAAAACAAGCACAAAAGGTAAGCACCATTGAGTTTGATGCATGGCTAAGTATTTGTATAAGCTGGCAGTGATATACTGAATAATGCTGTAGTTTAGAATATCTACAGTATTTATTATGCTAAGGGATGTTATAGTTTACATCTATCTACTCTTCATCTCATGATACCTAGTTTGTTTTGCTTTGACAGCACAAATCCAGGGGCCAGATTCACGAAAGCACTTGAGCAAGCACTTACAAACGTGTACATCTTTCCTCAATCTTTGACGGCTTTGGTTACATTTATTAAACAGTTTACAAGCATGAAAACTTCCCATTCAACTGTTGTTATTGGTATAAACATTCTCCTGGTGCTTCGGAGCTCATTAACTGTTTAATAATTGGAAACAAAGCCACCAAAGATTGAGAAAAGATGTACAGGTTCGTAAGTGTTTGTGTAACTGCTTCGTGATTCTGACCTGTTACCGAAGGTACCCAGAAAAGGGTCTTTCAATTCATTCAACATTTGATTTCTGTGAAATTAAACATTGTGATGAAATGCCCTTACCTGGTGGCTCCCCTAGAAGTTGCTATTATTATTATTATTACCTGAAAAGAATACATCCGATGCTTATTTAACAAAGGTATCCAACACTTACAGGATCGTGATGCACGAAGAAGACAAAAAAACAAGAAAAATGTTGACGATGATGATGAATTTTCTTATTATCAAGACAAATTTGAATTTGGGGAAGTTGTGTATGAACCTCCAAGTCTGGACACAGCAAAGCTCACCAAGAAACTTGGTGGCATAGTAAAGGTAACTATTTAAGCATAAGATTAGGATCTTAACAGTTACAGAATTGGGAGCCTGATTTCTTTTCTTAAACTTAATATACCATGTAATGTAGCAGTATATAATATTTCTGCACAGTCATTATCATCATTACCATGCTTTAAAGTTTCCTAGCACAAGACGGCATCAGCCTGGAGAACCTTGGTGACAAGTCTAGATAAAGAGGACCAAAGATACTGTTACAGGTATCAGCCACATGTATGGTAGAGTATATCAAAAGGAAGGGGCAGCAGGCTGGTCCCAATCCCTCATTAAGTCATTGTTTAGCAGTCATTAACTCTGTAAAATGCTCATTATTGTCAGTTATCTCTAAGGTTGTACGGAAAAAAATGCCCATTAATTTGCTAATTCAGTATATAACAAAAAATTACAAATATTAACTCTAGTAGAAAATAGTAGCTCTCCTCCTGTTACTACACTTAAGTAATTACTGAGTAACCCTTATGCTGGGCCACAGACACAAATTTTATAATAATACGTAGTGCAACATTCTTGCTTGTACTGTAATGTCATACATAGCATTATGAATATTCTAGTAGGTATGGAAATTTATTTTGGAAACACTTTTATTGATGGTTAGTAAGAATATTTTGTCACAGCTACGTACTTTTAACCAATAGGCAATTTATCGCGCTTTCTTAGAAACATCATGTCACACAAAATGCATAAATTACGTGCATTAACAATTATCTCCTCTTATCAGCAATATGAAGTGTCCTGCAGGGAATAAATATCCTCCCTCTAATTTTATTTATAGAAGAGGTACCCGGCGGTGCCCGGGATAATCTGTTCTCCCCCACTTACCATTCACGGTTCTCTCTCATCTCCCCCACTTACCATTCACGGTTCTCTCTCATCTCCCCCACCCTCTTCCTTCTTTTCCCCCTTCTCACTGACCGAGTAATACTTCTCACCGACACACGGCATGCTGTTAAAATTTGTTTGGTACTCGAACACAGCCTGACTACAAATAGGATAAATCTGCCACTTTTCATTGGTGTCATGGACTTGTTTGCATAGTAAATTGGAAACGAGGAGTGCTGGTCACACATCCTACCGTCAGGCACAGATGTAATAAATATGTTTCAGAGAAAAGTGTAATAGTGTGCTGTACAATATTTTTTATACTTGTATAATATTCTGGTTATATATAGAACCCTTGCCAGTTAATGTGCCCTGCATGTTCATTTGTCAGTTACATTTAGGCTACATTTTAGATTAAGGAACATTGCTGCATTTTTCTACCCGATTGTTTCTCGTGATTTATTGCCATAACAAATATTTCTTTCCATAGCCCAAAACGTTTCTGTTTATGGATAAGCTGAAGGAGGCAGGAAATTCAGAAGATCCTGCCTCTAGCAGACTAGCTAAGAAGCCAATGAAGGAGACTCCATCTGCAGCAAGAAAGAGGATCCTGGAAGATGAGAGACTTCGTGTAGTGGAAGCATACCGCCAAATGAAGGCCACAAAACACCACAATGTTCCTGGGATGAGTGTTTAGTAAAACTTGAAAACCCTGTGTTTAGAATGAGTATAGAATAAATATATTAAATTTATTTTAAATATATTTAACAGATTTATATTTTTATTCCACATTCTTTCTGAGAATTCTCCATTTTAGAGGGAGACCACATTCAGAATCCTCCCCAGGTATTCTAAAAGCCTGTGAATGTTTCTTAGTCTCATGAAGGAGCACTTTCAAAATTTATCTAAGGATGCCTAGTGAATTGGAGGTTGTAATGGGCTGTTGAAAAATGTAGCTACCTGTGGTCATGAGAGCATTAGTTAATAGAAGCTTCTGTTCTGGTGTGGGAATTGAACCCGGGACCTCTCGGCTGTTACTTGACCACAAGGTTCCTAACTTAACTAAATAATCAATCTGCTAAACTATCCTAACCAGTTCCAATCCTACCTAACCTAATTGACTCCATGAGCTGCTAAAATATAAAAAAAAGTTGTTTCATAAATAACATAAGGTGAGTATGAGTACTACAGATGGGTATGAATGTCAGGAAGGGTGTGGGGTGCATGATGAGTACGATTATCACAGTGGGTATGAATGTCACAGGAAGGGTGTGGGGTGCATAATGAGTACGAGTATCACAGTGGGTATGAATGTCACAGGAAGGGTGTGTGGGGTGCATGATGAGTACGAGTATCACAGTGGGTATGAATGTCACAGGAAGGGTGTGTGGGGTGCATGATGAGTACGAGTATCACAGTGGGTATGAATGTCACAGGAAGGGTGTGTAGGGTGCATGATGAGTACGATTATCTCAGTGGGTATGAATGTCACAGGAAGGGTGTGTAGGGTGCATGATGAGTACGAGTATCACAGTGGGTATGAATGTCACAGGAAAGATGTTTGGTTCATGATGAGTATGTTTATTGGGGCCCTAATAAGAAAGCTAGGCTAATTTTGTTTTTAAGATTCAGCTACTGGGAACAAAATGTTCCAAGTAGCACGGGCTATGGTGAGCCCGTAGTGGACTTACCTGGCACAGGAGCGAGGCGGTAACTGTGAGCTAGGCTAAGGTATATGTATATACCTTATGCAACACTGATCCAAGTATGCAGAATAACCAGATGTGAAAAATAGAGAATGCTTAACGCGTTTTCGGCTAATTCGCCTTCATCAGAGCAAAGTAGAATGTCATTCTACTTTGCTCTGATGAAGGCGAATTAGCCGAAAACGCGTTAAGCATTCTCTATTTTTCACATGTGGTTATTCTGCATACCTTATATGTTATATATGGCGTGTATATATATGTGACTAGTCAATATCACTGCTGTAACTTGTTTAGCTAAACCCATTGTGCCTTTGTAACCTTCACCACCACCGCTCGCACGAGAGAATGACTTTCATAATAAATGAACGAAACTAAACTTAACGTTATGTGTTGTCATTATTACAAATACAATATCGTCCGTCGTTACCCTTCACCATGAAATAATGTGTGCAGCAGATGGCCCATGTAACTAATAATTATGGCTGAATTAAAATTTCCTGTGGGTTGCCGCCAAGACATTATATTTCAGGTGTTTCCGGGAGGCGGCTGTGAGCGGAAGTTGTGTCGGGTGTTGGCCGAGGGAAATATCTCCGGCCGGCCGGCCAGCCTCCTCCCCCCACGCTTCTGGGAACACTCCGGCATCTATCCACTTGCAACCTGGCTCCTTGTAACCTCTTGTATGGAAATGTCTCTCGTTATATCTTATCATAAGCTCATAAATAATAGCAATATATGGTGCTTCTCTGAGTGGTGTGACTTTGGGGTCTCGTGGGGTGCCACGAGTCACGGTTGGGGTGTAGTTTAACTTTGCGTCGTGGGGTAAACGAGTCATGTATAACTGCGTCGTGGGGTACACTAGTCGTGTATAACTTGGCGTCGTGGGGTGCACGAGTAACTTGTTTTGTAGTGCAACTTGATGTCGTGGGGTACACGAGTCACGGATGCTGGCTGGTGTAACTTGGCGTTGTGAGGTGCACGAATCTACATTCCGGAATCCCCAGCAGGGAGGGAAATAGACCTTCGGGTATGACCACTAACTCAGTGTTGGTGAGTTTCTCATCAGATAACCCGCTGGGAACATGTTCACACCATGAAGGCTGGTGATGGATGCATCATAGAGGCAGGTGATGGCGGCAAGTAATGCTTGTGTAGCCGTGAACGCTGGCTGGGAAACCCCCAATTCCATCTTACAAACTAGTAATAGCACTTGTAAGAACAAAACAACAAAAAAATCTACCAGGAAACTGTTGTTCAGTTACATGCTTTTAAAAGTCGACAGGAAATTGTGGGAAATATTGTAATCACTGGTAGACGTGTTTCACTTTAAACTTTAACCTAAAATTATTAGATCATCTAATAGGCTATCATGCAGTTGCCATAAACCTTATTCACATTATGACTAAAAATAAAGCGAATGAAGAATTTTTGTATATACTCTTAACATGGCTTGTTTATTTAATATATTAACATAGCTTAATATGTTTGAGATTGTAATTATTTACAAACTAACAGAATTCTATGCTAGCACTCTCTTAAGGGAATATCGCTGAGGACCGAGCTCCCTGCTTCTCCGAGGTATACATACACGGTGAATTGGGTATACCTATACTGGTTGGTCAGTAAACTATTGTGGTGGCCGCAGCAACCCTACAGATGACACTTAAGCCCAACGCCAGGCCAAACAATATAAACAGCCCTGGTCAAAATATAAATGTGACTGACGATGGAGATCTTGGCCAGAAATGACTGCGATCTGTATTCTTCCGTTAATAGCTACGGTGTCAACAATACTAACAATCTTCAAGGAATTAGTAATGCCCATCACACACCTTATAATTATATCCTACTCCTCCTGAAGGACAATTTTCATTCGCGGCCCAGCCATTATATAGGCAGCAACTTCCGGCGGCCGCCTGGCAGGAGACTCACGTCATTAGCAGCTCTGTGATGGCGCCGCCACCAGACCACCATGGAGGCCGGCCTCCCACCCAGGCCTCTACACCACCGACCCCACACCCACCCAGGCCTCTACACCACCCTCCCCACACCCACCCAGGCCTCTACACCACCCTCCCCACACCCACCCAGGCCTCTACACCACTCTCCCCACACCCACCCAGGCCTCTCCACCACTCTCCCCACACCCACCCAGACCTCTCCACCACTCCCCACACCCACCCAGGCATCTACACCACCCTCCCCACACCCACCCAGGCCTCTCCACCACTCTCCCCACACCCACCCAGGCCTCTCCACCACTCTCCCCACACCCACCCAGACCTCTCCACCACTCCCCACACCCACCCAGGCCTCTACACCACCCTCCCCATGCAACATGATTTCTTTTTCAGCTCTCCCTTGATAAAGGGAGAGCTTGGCCCTCCCTTAAGGCCAAATTGTCATATACATCATAATGTTTGAGGCAAATTATGTAGACCTATGGTTGTGCTATGGAGAGAAAGGTATGCAGGTACTTAATATTATACCTGCTCGCGAGTGAGATCACGAGCCTATTCTTAGCCCTGGGTGTAGTCTTAATGTCTAAACTGCTCAACTTAATGTTTTAGCGTTCATATTATTTATATATTATACGGCCTTGCACCATATTGGTAAATAACAAAGTTAACCCCGCGACTATGATTGACTAGGCGCCAGTCCTTAACTGTACACCTCTGTTCACCCAGCAGTGATTGGGTACCTGGTTGTTAAGCAATTGGCGGGTTGTTTTCCAGGAAAACTGGTGGGTACGGTTTATCATGAGCTAAGGGAAGGGAAAGCTGCCAACCAGACGCTGTTCCTGTATCTACCTATGCTTACAAATATTGAATGAGTGCATCGTATGGGTCAATAGGCTTTCTGCTGTGTCCTTTCGTTTTATGTTCTTACATTATTGCACCCCATTATACTCGTAGATGAAGTAGATGTGTGTATTGTGGCTTTTATATTATCTTTGAGATCTATATATTATTATCAATAAATAGGAGTGGGGTAATCAAATATATTGTTTAATAAATTCAAAATAAAACGATGTGCCTTTCAAGGTTACAGATCACTAACAGGGATCAAGGGGTCAAGGGATGGACAATTTTTGTCAGGGGGCTGACCGGGATCAAGGGGTCAGGGGGATGGATAAGTCCTGGCAGGGCTGACGTGGATCAAGAGATCAGAGGATGCAGAGGTCCCTGGCAAGGAACTGACATGGATCAGGGCATGGACACACCTGTGAGCCTCTGCCGTGAGGATTTTCGACCCTGTACTTACACAAATTCATCACTATGCAAGCTAGCCTGGTCAGCAAACCCTGATACAGCAAATTCTCCAGAGATTACGGCTGATTGTCGATGCTTGGCTGTCAGCTGGCTAAATCAACGACCGCCGGTCCAAATTATTTTCTGTTTGATGGTAATGAGGGTATAAATAATCAGATGGCATGGTGATTGTGGCCGGGACGGCAGCTTGCGGAATGTACACAAAGTTTTATCTCTGACGTTCATCGAATCTGAACTGAAGAGAAGCAACACTTGAGAATAACAATACTACCCGTTGTCGCCCACTCATAAACTAATGGGTAGGCGGTTGAAAAACTAATGCTGTTTTTATATGTGCAAGAAGATACCCTTAAGCTACAGCTGGTGTGGTCTTGACGACCAATTGTGTCTCAGGGATACAACGACTTCTCTCCTTCTCCTATAGCAGGTAGAGTATCCATCGGGGGACCTTAGTCCTACAGTAGGTCCATCGGTGTGGTCACTGTGAAGGTCCTTGGGACGACGGTCTCCCTAAAGTGACTTCGTAATACAATTATTACTAATATAAAATATATGACAGGTCTGATTCCAGTTTTACAAAATGAATATTTTATCAGTTTTATGAAGCCATTAACCGCGCGCAGCAGTTTGAAAATGATAAATAAGGTTAACTTTACAAGCAGGACCAGCGGTAGCCTAGCATCGCTACGTTCCCGTGTATAACGTCGTAATAACAGTTTACGTTCAGCAGCCTATAACCGTATATAGGTATACAACTTTAGAAGGTAAACATACGCATATGTGTGTGT